GAGAGAAGAGAAGAGAACAAAAAAACGAGAGAGAGAAGAGAGAGATGGAGAGGGAAAAAAAACGTAAAATGTGAAGATGTGATGAAGACGTATTATCTCAGGTTCTTTTCTTGGAAGAACCCTACGCCCAGGTGCGCTCGGGAAAAATCGAAAAAATTGCCAAATTTCAACTCCATATGGATGGAATAATGGCATTGCCACTGATTCCGTGATTCCCAACAGTGGTGCAGCTAAAAACAGCAGCCAGCGCATCCAAATTTTTGGAACCATCCGGAAACTCTGGAACTGAAACCAGGAAAACAGAACCTGCAACGACCATGCAGCAGCCTGTTTGTGACACGATTGCAATGTATTTTGCTGAATTACACACGATTTAATTTATTAATTAACAACTGAAACATTAGGAAATTATGTTGCTGTTGTATTACGAATTTTGAGATAGTGATAGTGCGAGTCAGAACGCGATTAAGTGTTTCAGACTTGCAAATTTTTCCGGGGTCATTCGGTTTTGAACGCAAACATATGTTTTCCGCGTGTTTCAGACTAAATATTTTCTTTCCGGATGGACCAAATACAATGTGAATTCGTTGCGCAGTTCAACATTATGTGTCCATGTCAATTAAACACTATGTCCACTATGTGTACATGTTTGGGGAAGGTATTTGTATTTTTGTTTAATTTGATTTGTTCGCATTTTGTTTCGATGTGTTGCAGCGTTGTTGATGTTTTGGTTGTTACCCCAAGGCAAATATATTCATCAATAATATGAAATTTATCATCACGGGTGGTATCACCCAATGTGTGGTTATTGCAATGAACCACCGTGCATGCTTGTTATGAGCAGGAGCACACATGCACGTTCGCATGCATACAACCCTACCAACCCTTCCATTTTTTTTTACTGTAACGATATTTTCAAAGTGGGGTACACGTAAATGGACTCAATGGACAGGGATTTTGAATCAAAAAAAAATGCACCTGGTTTCAAACTGAGAAAATTAGCTAAATTGAACTGGGATATTAAAAACCTTCGTTCAGGAAACTAAAGCCAGATATTTGTTTCAAAAAAATATATAATCCCAAATCAACTGAAAAACATGGACTAGGTGGCATGCTTGATTGGGAAACAATCCTTCTGAATTTACAAATTGCATTTGATTTAGCATGTCAGGTACCTTCATCAATTCGTCCATATTACAAATCAAGTCGTTTTGCCGGACGCAGTGGCTATTCATTCCATTGTCATTGTGGTTCAAGGATTTATTTTTTTTGAATTGTTGCCATGTCAAAATTTGGCATGGCTAATTGACAGTCGTCAGTGGATCAACACTAGCCTGAAACTGAATGATTGGCAATGAAGGCAATCCTTATCAATCCTTTATCATTTTCAATTGTGTGCGTTATTGTGCGTTTGTACAGTTTGATAGCATGGCCAAACGAAAGAGCAAAGTCAAGAGGAACCCCAAAGGTGGAGGACTTGGATCATCGACAGCCGTGCAGTGCTTTGGTCAAGTGCGAATTTGGCTGTCATCATTTTCGGAGGTGGTGTGAAAAAGGGAGACAAAATCCATGGTCAGAAAAAAGGAAAAAAGGGTGAAGCAGCTGCATACATCACCAGAGCCCAGGCCAGTGCAATCATTATCAGGTGGAATGTTCAGTTCAGCCATCAAGATTGTCTAATGCCCAGTGCCATAACCAATTCCACATATTATCACTGCAAAAACCAATGGCAATTTTTGCACGCATAGGAGGATTGAATGGAAATTGGGGTCTTTTCCATATGCTTTGTGTCCTGCTTTGGGAGGCTTTGGCAAAACTGCAACTTCCTTTAGCCGATTTTCGAAAACTTTGCATTCTGAAGGCGAACTTCGTATGTGAAGCAGTGTTTACGTTCTTTTGAGGTTGTTAGCATTGAAACAGGTTTCATTCATCAAACATTGGAAACACTGAGAGCACCGCTTGACGGAATTTTATGTATGCTGCAGGGAATCTATCCACGAGATCCGAAGAAGAAAGCGCAGGGCAATGACAAGACGTATTATCACCACAAGGATATCGCGTTCTTGCGACATGAGTCAAGCCCTTGGGGATTTAGCTGTTTGGATTGTATCTGGCTGCCGATGACACGTGATTTTGCAGATGCTTGCATTGCTGGTGCTTTGTCGGGTTATTTCAGGATTTTCCATTTGAACGTGTTGTCATGTGAGGCCCTTGCTGAACAAATTCTTCGAACTGAAAACATTTATGAAGAAGCCGGCTGCCAATTTAGTGTATGTTTTGGTTGTGATACAAAACGTTGTTTTGCATTTTTTGATTCCAAAGTCTTCATGAACTGGATTTTGGGATAGGATATGTTTTGTGTTTGTTCCATCCTCAAGCCCATGCTCTGGATTGTTTGAGCTGACATTGGACGTATTGATATTGCACAGCCCTTCGTGTGCCACAATGTCTTGATTCGTGTTCCAGATTTTCTCTGGTGTGAAAAATATCCACGAGTTGCCCAGATAGTGATCATCTTGGTGATTGTCGTTAGGTTCAAACGGCTGATGGGCCGACGGGAGATCAAAAGTGCAAGACGACTAGAGGACACGCTTGTCAAAAACTGTGACTACCGCATGCAACGATTCTTCCCTTCACAAAACTGAAAAGGCCTGAGGGTTGGAGTGATGTACTAGCTCATAAAATTGTTTGAAAAGTGAAAATATACAATAGAGAGAACTGACTCACATCACTGTCCTTGGCACTGCATAGTGGCATGGTGGAAGGTGATTTAATTTGGGACCATTGGCCAAGAACAATTTTTGAACAGGATTTAAAGAGTGCCCACTGGGTTCCTTATTTTTTGTCAACTGCAAGAGAACGCCACAACTTCATGATGAAGTAGTGTGTCGGGAGAGGCACTTGCTGCTTTAGTAAAGTGTCTGCTGACTCTACTGTTATCTTGTTGAAAAGGTTGTATGAAGAGAGCACAAATCTGGTCAGTGTGGTCTTACATCTTTGCCAATGATGGACCTTCGCTCTAGTCGGCAAACTTTTCCCACGATATTCCTAGCGCATGTTCTCACTACGTAAGCGATTGTGCATGGTTTCGATTGGTGCTGAAACCTGGATAGCGGGATAGCACATGATTGATGCTGTCTCCAAAAAGGGACACCATGTAAAAACATTTGTTACGACAGCTGCGAAGAGGAGCGCAAACCAAAGTACACACTGCACCATTTGGTGAGAGAGAGGCTTGAGACATGTGGAAACTGTTCAGTGATCAACAAATGCACTTTGGAGTTGGCAGCAGGAGCTGCAGCAGCATGTTGTGAGCACAAGTCTTACATCATGAAAACAAGAATACAATATATCTTCCTGTGATTTCACTTTCTTGCATCACAGCTGAAGATGTCACGTATTTCAAGTGCCAGGTACCCATCATTTGATGATGCAATCAGAGATTTGGACGATGCTGCCATGATCACAGTTACAGTTACATTGAGTGCAAAGATGCTCTCAGCAGATCTCAGCACAGAGTTTGTTTGGTCACGGGTGCCAGCTTTTGCAAGTCGCACTGACCAAGGTGAGTATGCTGGCCCTGTTCCAGTCACTGTCGGCTGATCAAGTGCAGATCTCAGCACTTTTTTTTTTGCGTTTTAATCCTATATATATATGATTATATGATTATATAATCCATGATATTTCTTTTTGCCTACAGCTATCACTGTTGTCCGCAAGCGTACCAAGCACCTTCCGTCTAAGATGCGCGCCAGTTTCAGCAGAACAAGCGCTCATTCTTGTGACAAACTGCCTGCGAGCGTCTTATCAGACATAAATAAATATATATATATATATGTATATATATATATATGTATATATGTATATATATATATGTATATGTACACATATATATATATATATATTGAATGTGTATTCAGTATATATATATATGACTCTTTCTCTCTCTCTATATATATATGTATATATTGTAAAGCTTCGCACACCGGCGAAGCCACAAGGGTTATGTATAGTAGTGTGAGCGTTGGTGTTGTTCATGTGCTCTGCGCGTGCGCGCAGGTGCAGAGCACAGTGTGATGTTCTTGTCATACCGCAGCTTGTAACCATCTTACCACACATCTTTTTGTCGCATTTTTGTGCTTGTTCTTCTATTTGTTCTTCTTGTTGTTGTTATTCTTATTGTTGTTGTTCTTGTTGTTGTTGTTGCTGCTGCTGCTGCTGTTGTGGTTGTGGTGGTGGTAGTTAGTAGCAGTAGTAGTAGTAGTAGTTGTTGTTGTTGTTGTTGTTCTTGCACTTGCGCTTGCAACGCAGCTTATTTCGCATTTTTGTGAACCTCTAGAAAATCGTCCAATAGGTGGTGTTTCCGCAATTTTTGAGACCCTCGGAGCAAAACACCTCGTCAATATTGGAACGTTTAGGGATTATCCGCACCGTAACTTTCATAATGTAAAGACGTCCTTCCCCTCCTGGGTCAACCTCAAGGACATGCCAACAATTTTTGGCTCAAGATGCCCGTAGACAAGGTCGCCGCTTGCTGTGTGTCTGTTGTTTGGGTTGGTTGTTTTTGGGGTGTTAGTTCACAATTCAATTGGTTATCAGTTCCGTAGTTTGCTCTTGTTGAACCCCAAAGTAAATTTCATTCCACCAACCCTGCGGCCCGGGTTAAAGGGTCGCTTCCATGTCATCACCGTGCGCGATTTCTGAGGGAAGACCGACTACAACCCTGTCTTGGTGGCCACAGTACCGACCAATCACTGGCAATCGCTGTCACTTGAGTGGAGCTTGGTACCTTTGGCCCAGAATCTGCACGGATTTCAAAGTGTGAATTCCTGCTTTGCTCAGTTCTGCGTCTGCTCAGTTCTGCGTCATAGGACCAGTGCATTCGCCCATTTTGACAATCCTCATTTTTAGCGCCACCGCATTGGCAAAGGAAGTCTGATCCGAAGTTCATGTGGAGTTTCACAGCGGACTTTCTGCGCTGGTGGGGTTTTCAGTGAACGGCCCAAGTCTTCCGACCGTGTGTCACAGCTCAGGTGTCGCCGCGTCGTGCAAGCTGTTTCGCTGCAAGGAGTTTCACTGCGGTAGTTTTTGTTTGCAAGAGATTTCACTGCTTGGATCTGAATTTATTTTGCGGATTTGGAACCACTGGCTGCTTCGTGCCGTGGATTCGCAACTTAGTTTGCTTGTTTATTGCATACGACTTTGTCACTTGGATTCCTTCGCATCGGATTGCCTCCCGGTGATTGGCTGCTTTCGGCGCCACTCGGGTAGTACCGAATCTCAAAGCCATGTTGCCTTTTATTCTTCCAATTGTTTGCCTTTGGCGCCGCTCGGGTGGTGTCGAGAGCTGTGGATTTGTGTTTTGTCAATCTCCATATTCCAGAATGTCAGCATCAGACCCAGCATTATCAAGTTTGAATTTGAGTTCGGATTTGGTTGTCCAAGGTTGTGTGGGCAAGGTCACGTCCCAGAGATCTCGTAACAGTTCCTCAGGTACTCCATCTTGCAATCGTTCCACGAAAATTATCCAGGGCGGTGGTTCTGGGAGGAGGTCGGTAGCACCATAGTGAGAACAATGCCTCAGGCATCCCACAGCCGAGATCCATCCCCTTCCCACAGTGGTCAGGACTCTGTTGATGTTCCTTTAGAAGTTCACCATCAAGAGATGCATGCTCATGATGATAGAGTCCAAACGGTTGCATTCGGTGTTGATCCTGCTGAACATGGTAGAATGGTTAGTGAAGCCCAAAGACTTTTAGATGAGCCTCAAAGCAGAGCTGATCATTTTGGGAGTTTATCAAAAGGAATCTACTCTCATGCTTGCCAGCGAGCCCAACAACTTATGACTTTTGCCCAGCAACTGCGTTGAGAAGGATGATCTTTGCAGCGACTTTCTGAGGAAGTTCAATTGGTGAGAGCACAACGTTCAAGAAGGTAATCGTCATTCAATATTCCTCGAAGTTCCCGTCGAGCGAAACCAGCCCGTGGTGAGAGTCCTGGGAGACGCAACATTTTGCAAGTCATCAAGAGTTTGCCAAAGCCACCAGAACATGGCAAGAGTGTTGCGATTGTTTCCACATCTCGTGCATCTAGACTGGCATCCCAGCCGTCACAGTTGCCCACGGGAATCCAGAAAATGGTCCGCACTCCTCGGTTCATAACACCCGCGAGCGTCATGATATGAGATCCCAGCAAGTGAATGTTGGAGTTGATCCCATGGTTTTCGCTGAGATGGTGTAAGAGCCCAAGGGTTGGAACAATTGGCCCAGGAAGTTTGCAAACAAGCCTGTGTTCGCATTCAAGACTTGGCCGATGTTGCTGAAAATTTGTGCCAGTCGGGATGTAACCAAGCTTCCAGTTTGCAGCTTCTCACCCAAGAGATCCACACCAGAAGAATGAAACTTGAAGAACAGATCCATCAAAATCAAATGTTGACAGAACACATGGAGCATCATAAGGTTCAGTTAAGTGATCAAGTTCACCAGAATACAGTTTCGGCCACCGAGATGGAATCAGAGAAGTCCCGGGTCCATAACCTTTTTGGTCATAAAGATGCTGAAATCACCCGGTTAACGTCTCAAGTTTCAAGTCTCCAGTCAGCGAATGCCCGGCTTGAGGAGAGATTGGCTGCTATGAGCGCCACTCCCTCAGCAGTGTACCGTAAGCCAGAGGCGCCTAGGATGCCGAGTGCTGACATGGCCACACAGCTGAATCCTTTGTTTGAAGCAGCGAAGAGCTTGTCACGTCGAATGGATTGTTTTGAAAACACCCCATAATAGCGCGGCCATTCCAAGTGGACAGCCACATGTTCCATCACCGTCTTTTGGCAATGTTGACAATGCCGCCTTGCCTTCGTCAGGACTTCGACTTCCGATTGGTCCGCCCGGTCCTCCTCCAGATGATGGTGACTGGCCGGAAGAAGGTGGGGATGATGATGAAGAGGAATTGGTTGCCGATGTTACCCCTGTAAGTGAAAGAAAAGAAAAAGATTTGGTTGACTCTAGAGCTCTTCAGAATGCTCGCATTGAACCTTTGCTCAACAATGCATCCGAGTACAATCAATGGAAGAACACACTCATCCTTTTGTTTGGACGCCTTGACACTTCCGGTGAAGAGGGGCTGAATAAGTGGATTACACCAGCCTTTCATGTGGATTCTGAAAGGGCTTCAGAATGTTTGGAGTCGTCAAGCATTTTTTCCACGTCATGACAGGTGGCTTGCAGGTGAGTTGATCAAGTCCATCAAAGGTTTGCCTGAGTTGTCTTTCAAGGTACAGGCGTATGTTGAAGGTTGCGCTCGCAAAGTTGAGGCTCCAAGAGGAAGAGCCATTCTCAATATGATTTCCCGTCATTTTGACTTGGACGGCGCAGCCCAGAGTGAGTGTCTTTCAGATCAACCTTCAAGGATACTCTATCAAAGAACTGCAGGACGTTTCTAGTTTGATGATGCGTACCCTCAATTCAATTCCATGAGAAGATTGGCCGAGCCAGCGGATGTTGCGGGAATGGTTGTTTCATCAGCTGTTTCAAGTCCGGAAACTTGAGAGAACTATTGACTTGATCAAGCGCTCAGATCCTTCGTCGCATGAAAGAGAGTTTTCATTCCTTTGGGAACGTTTCCAACAGCTTTTGGTTGAAGAGCATGAGGGTGTCAACGCTCGTGCAAATTGAGTTGTCTTTCAAGAGCTCGAAGAAGATTGGTCAGGAAACCACAAAGACGCCAGCTGTGCCAGCCAAAGCATCGTCAGCAGGTCCTTCAGTGACTGCCGCAGTTTCAAGTCCAGCTCCTCAGAGGAAGCAGGTGCTAAGCCACCACCACAAGCAAAGTCAAAGACAGCTGGAAAACCCTTAGCAGCTGCTGAAAAGGCAAAGATACCACGTATCTTTTATCAGATGCCGTCTGGTTGCAGTCATGGTGAAAAGTGTATGTACTCTCATGTGAAACCACCTGCTCAAGCCAAGGAAAAGTTAGATTCAAAGGCTGGTGCCAAGGCAAAGCCGAAACAGTCTGCGCCCAAGGTTGCAGCTGCAGTGGCTATAGTAGCTGCACTTAGCTCCATGGTGACACCGTCTCAAGCCATTGTTTCCTTGGAGGGGGCCGCTGACACTGGTGCCGGCCGACACTTGGTTTCTTTTGAAGCATTGAGAGAGCAGGGCTATCATGACAGCTCCTTTTCTGGCTTTGCAAATGACTTCCATGAAAACTTCCGTTTTTCGACGGGTGGTGGACAAGAACTCTTCACAGACCTTTGGATTTTGTCATCAGGGGGCTTCTTTGGAGATGCCAATCGCTTCCTTTTGGATTCATGTCCTATTGTTCGCTCAATTGGACTTGATGCTGAGCAGAATGGTTTGGGATTTGTTTGACTTCCGGGTTCAATGCCATACCTCGTTCGAAACCCATCGGCATGTGAGATAACACGCAATGAAGACTTAGACAACCAGTTTTATGTTTCAAGAGTTCGTCAAAAATGTGCCATTGTTCAGAATCCAGTTTAGTGCGATTCCTGGAGCTCTAGCTGCGATAGAACATGATGTTGGAGATTTGGAAGTGAGAACTCCCCCCAGAAATCGCTGCGGAGTTGCTCGCGACATTTTGGCTGCTGAGCCAGCTGTTGCGCCTGGCGTAGATTTGGGAAATCGATCATCCGTCGCCGCAGAAGTCAAATAAAAAAAACTCCAGATGTTCTGCTACCCATGCTTCCCAGATCAGCTGTGCGTGCCAGAGCCGATGCTGTATCAATTGAACATCCACTGAGCCATTTTCCAAGACATCCGTTGTGTGACATTTGCAGTTGTGCCAAGCTCTTTTCAAAGCGTGTGAAATCCCATCGTGGGCAAGATCCTGATGCCGACGTGCCCGAACCTTCAAAGTTTGGAGAGCAGATTGCAATTGATCATATGGTTGTCTCAAAGTCGTCAGGTGGGCGTGTTTTTTTGTTTTGCAGTGGGATCTTCATTACAGATCCATTCAATACGAAAAGTTCAGACTTTGTATACTCATGTCTTGGACGCTTTGTTGGCTTGCGTTTCAAAAATCCAGACACCGTTTGCCGAAGTGATGCAGCACCCAAGCTCATCAAGGCTATGTTGAGGCTATGACGGCGATATGTGACACCATCTCTGTCGAAAGATCTCCAAGATGCCAATTTTTCTTCCCGGACCCCTCCGCGAACCAAAAACCAGGTAAAAACAACGGTTTTTTACTTTGGCCAACAAAAAAATTGGGATCGTCCGAGGCTACAAAACACCCTAAAAAACGATGTTTTTGCGACCTCACACACACACACGAAACACCCTAAATTACGGTGACTTTGGCTCCCCTTGCTGTCCGCCGGGGTCGGTTATATATATATATATATACATATACACACACATACAAAAGGTACAGTAGATCCTGGGGGGCTACCTTGTTTCTTTAGTTACTTTACGGAGGAAACAAGAGGCCTCGAACTTCTTATGTAGCTGCAAAAAAGAAAAGAAAAACATTTAGGCACCTGATCATGCAAAGAAAAGAGATGAATGCAAGATGTATTAGATGAATGGATACACAATTTCATAACTGAGACATATTTAGGGGCTAAATGCAGTTATGTAGCCAATAAAGAAAAATTACGTGGCTAAAATATATTTGAATTATTACGTGGCTAGGAAAGCCTGCGCTGGGAAAACTGTCCCAGTTTGGGAAGCACCTTCGCGCGGCTCGTTAGTCAGGTAACGTTTTCGCGATGCACATCATAAGCTCTACAATCAGGTGCACCAAACTATCTCCCCTCATAACTCCAATAAAAAACGCTGCATTTTGGATATGGTGTATCAGACATCTCTGAATTTCCGACGTGGGCCCCGGATTTGGTCACACCCAAAACAAAACCACGCTTATATTGCTGCTGTTTTTCACTTGAAAAAGGATCCCGAAGAGTTCCACTCCATCGCCATCGCCATCGACATCATCATCATTATCATCATCATTGTTATCATCAGCATTACCACCACCACCACCACCACCATCATCATCATCATCCTCATCGTTTTCATCATTTTCATCATCACCATCACATCATCACATCATCACCATCATCACTATCATCATCATCATCGTCATCATCATCATCGTCATCATCATCACCATCGGCATTGCCATCATCATCATCATCATCATCATCATCATCACCAATCATCATCATCATCGTCATCGTCATCGTCATCGTCATCATCATCATCATCATCATCATCACCGTCATCATTTTCGTCATCATCATCATTATCACCATCATCAACATTACACTCGTCATAATCATTATCACCACCATCATCAACATTACACCCATCGTAATCATCATAGTCATCATCACCACCAGTCATCATCAACATCATCACCAATCATCATCATCATCATCATCATCATCATCATCATCATCACCAAACATCATTATCATCATCATCATGATCATCATGGTCATCATCATCGTCATCACTCGTCGGTATTATCAATCACCGCTCTTATCCTCATTATCACTATCATCACTTTGATCACTATGACCGATGTGATCATTATAGTCACTATTGTCACTATTGTCCATCACTATTTTCACAATTAACATTATTATCACTATTATCAGTGTTATCAGTATTATTTTTTTTTGGGATCACGATGATCTTGTTGATGATGATGATGATGGTGGTGGTGGTGATGTTGATTTTGTCAACCTTGATGATGATGATGATGATGATTATGATGATGATGATGATCAGCATCAGTAACATCGTCTTCAATCTCCATTTTGGCCGCCTACCATCCGTGTTCCCATTCTCAACTGTATAATGTATCATATGTATATACACATGTTTTTCAAATGTGTACGAAGATGGACGTCAGACAGTATAGTAACGCCCGGACCGACGAAACCTTGTTGGACAACAAAATGGGTCTTTTTGTGAAACCTCACTTAATATTATAAGAGTGTAAAATATGTTGGCTGGGCGCAAACCGCGCCTGCATGGGCTGTGTATGTTTTGGATCCATGTTGCAAGGCGAGAGACATTCCAGTTGACGCCATCACGGAAGCAACACAACTGTATCAGGACACTGGGCTGAAAGGTACAAACCAGGTAAAACATTAAACTTTAAACTACTAAGGCTAAGGCTCTTGAAATAGGATATGCAACAGTGAATGACGAGGTTCTTCAATGAAAACATGTCAACGATTTGAAAATCATGCAGGAATTTCAGCTCTACGTCATCCGTGCTCAGGTGAGGTTTTCCCTGGATTTATCAAATTATCAGCAAACTCAAGCAAAAAATCTGACATGTTGACTTTGCAGCGAGGAAACTTCTTTGGTTTTCTCAGTCCATGAAAATCCACAAATAGGATTCGAAAAATCTTCTTTGGGTGGCCTGTGGCCTGCAGGCCCTACGGAAGGTGTTTGCATCAATCAAGGGCTACTACTTTCAGGCGTCACGCATGTATCGAGCACTCTTTGGCCACTTTGTTGGTTCGATTGTGCCACTTGTATGGTACCATTTGTTCCTCATTCCTTTGTCACCTGTTCCTTTTGGGCGCAGCTCAACCTTGAAGTGAATATATCCTGCAGACTATCGTTTGGGCGCGGCTTCGCTGGAGGCAGAGATTGGCGGTCAGTCTGTGACTTGGTTGGCCCCGCACCAGTTTGCCCAGGATGGGTGTGTTGTCGTTGACGTAAGCACTACTCACTACCGCTTAGGCTGCTCAGGTCTCAAATGGTTGCGTTTGTTCAGTCTGTTGAGCTCTTGCGTTTTAGATTGTCTATGCCGTTTATGCCTGGTGTGAGGACCTGCCAGCAGAGGTGGGAGCTAGTTGGAGCAGCATGTTCCAGTGCGAAACAACGATTTGTCAGACTGGTCAGGTTGACTTTAGAGTGATGCTGACGTTTTTAGAGTTCTACCGTGCCATGGTGAAGTTGCCGTCTCAAGTGCTTCTGCCGTTGTGTGCTGAGTGGGCAGTTTGTGCTTCAGTTCTTTGCTGAGGTTCGTGAACTTCCGACTGTACTCGGACTTGGGCCTGGCATATCCACCAAGGAGATTGGTTCCAGTGTTGGGTCTCCTCGGGGTTTTGGAGTGATGCATTGTTTTGCGTTCCGAGAAGACAACTTGCACGGAACCGGAATGGAACCTTGGCAGAACCCTGGAACTATGGGCCTCACACACTGCTGGGTTGCAAAGCAAGTTTTGTCTGGCAGCCTTTGTGAGTTTACACATTTCTGTTAGTAAGATTCCGCGTTTTGAAGGTTCTGGGTCTGCAAATTGACAGAAGTGGCAAGCGTTTTGAATGCTTGATGCTTCAATGTTGGGTGGGTTCTAGAACGTTCAAGAGGTCAGGTGAGTGTGCTACGAAGTGATCCTGGCCGGTATTTTGACATTAACTACTGTTGGTAAACATATTTGTTCCAAAGGTTCCAGAACAAGCCAGGAGTTTTTGCCAACAAAAAATCTTTCTGTATGATAAAAGAACAATCTGGAAAACCATTTTTTTGTTTTTGGGTCACCTTGAATGGACCTGGAGGAATGTGCAGGGTTTTGTCCTAGTGCAGGAGAGACGTAAAGCTCGACAGTAGTTCCGCAGATGTTGCCGCTTTGGAAGTGGAGATGCGTGAGGCGTTACTCCTGTTGCACTTAACTTCACTTTGCTCACTTATGAGCGCTTAACCATGCTTGTAGGATAGCAATGGCGTCTCTGCCTTACTCTTTGCACATGTTGGCATGTGACAGTTTGACATCTCTGCAAAGCGCAGGCTGGAAAAGCTCAGCAACTGCAATCAGAGCAAACAGAAAAGGACGGCAATTCCTTTTGACATTTTTGACATTTCAGTTGAGATATTTCATTACCAATATTACCAGATCTGCGAAGCCACCCAGGACAATGCCGACGTGGCCACTGGCGTTCTGGCCGACTTTGGAGATCAAAGCGAGGCAAGACTTTGGTTTGAAACGGAAACCCAAGACGTGGTATGACATGAAACGACATGCTCAACGTGTTTTTTCTTGCAGGTTGCTTGTGTTCCCTGCAAAGGCAGTTGCCATGCAGCAGAAGTTGGCTGAATCGAATCGAATGAAGACACCTGGCTCATTCTTGCTGTTTTTGCAGACAACTTTCCGTCTGTTGAATTTTTTCTTTTTTCACACAACCACTGGCCCGAGTAGGTTTCCCTTCCCCCCATACAATTAAAGTGGTTGCCCTTGGCCACGACAACAAGACTGTCATTCAAGCAAGGTTATATAAGATCGGGCCAATTGGTGTTAAATAACCCGCCAAGGCATGGACCTACGTAACTAGTTTTTTGTTCTGATAGTGGTATGCACGTAGGCAAAGGATGGCAAAGGTGTATGTACACGTACATTAACGTAAACAAACATACAGTCAGTGCAGTAGACAGGTTTCAAGTCTTTCGACATTTGGTGCCTTTCTACATCTTTCTACCTTCTCGCAGCCGCAACAGCGATAGTGGAATGTATCCAAGGATAAGGAGGTGTGAGAGTGTGTGTGTGTGTTGTGACGGCTACTTCAAACAAGGTATGCATTGCATGAGAGTTGGTAAGCTAGACCGAGCTGGATCAGGTCCAGAATGAAGGGTTTTAGTGATTGTATTTTTTCAGGGTTCAAAGTTCAAAGCTTGAGAGTTTATGGCAGTTTATGGCATTGAAATTGAAGGCCTATGCTTTGAACATTTCTCCGCCAACACTTGGCTTGGACGTGACTTGACCACTGTGCATATGCAACTTGTGCAGAAATACTCACACCAAAAGTCACCAAACCTATACTATACCAAAGCTATGCACCGAGTACAGACTACCTCACCAAACCTAATCGCTTTAATCCCTTACTTCAGTAGTTTGATACACTTTGATAGTACCCGGCGCGGCTTCACACAGGACCACCTTCCGAGGGTTGCGCGTTTTCGTGAATCGAGAGGTTCCTTTGAGGCGAAGATCTTGTGCAAGAATTGGGAAGACTTCAATACACTTCATAGGTCATTGTTTGATCATTGTTTGATCAAATTGGATGCAGACACAGGATCTAGCAGAATTGGAGAATTGGTTTGCTGCTTGTTAGGCCATTATACTTCGTGCTCCTTTGTGGCGGTGTGGCAGAGGGAGTGAGCACAGGAAGGAATGCCTCCAGCAAGCCCAGAGAAAAAGCAAGAGAACTGACAAACTGCTCATCGAAAGCAGAACAAAAAATGTTTTGAGCACAATGATTTGTTCTTGAAACCATGTCGTAAACAAGATCAGCATGTTCACAGTTTGGCCATACTTGATGTGGTTGTAATATGTTGTAATTCTAATGTTGCGAGACTTTGTGCAAAGGTCGGCTGGGAACGAGGGGCTAGCGCTGGAGAGTCTGCTGGACTGGGTTCAGCTTTTCCAGTGGATGGTGCATTTGGCATGGCTTGACAGGTTGACCGGGAACTATTGACTGTCAAGATCTGTCAAGTGGCTCAATAGGTTTGTTGTTCTCGTATTGGCGTCACCAGCCGGGCAACTGATTTTCCTTTTTCATCCCTTCTCCATGTTCTGGTGCGTAGCTGAACATGGAGGCCTGAATTTCTTCTGAAGCCTTTCTGCCTGTACAAGTGATTGGAGGGACCCCTCAAATGATCACTTTTTGAAAGCTCCGGCCTCGCCAACATGATCACAACTTGAATCATGGATCTGGCTCGTACTCTTTCAAAGCTTCCCTCTTAATCTATGCAAAGATCATGCACCGTCACTGACCATATCAATCCGCTTTGGACGAGCCCAAACAGACGTAGCGTGATTTATCATGATTTTATGAATTCATGTCAAGGCTTGCAATGCTCTTGTGCACTTTAGAGGAAGTGAGCGGTAGCACTTGCATGCTGCATTCACTCAAGCAGACGCTTTTTTCCCCCTCCATTCTGAAGCAAACGGTAGCCAGGCGAAGCCATTACGCATCAGATTGTTGACCGGCCTGTGGGTTCTTTTGATGTGCGTCCTGGTCGTGGCCAAAGTGAGGGTTGGAATCAGCTGGAGTCAGTTGGAGTCAGTTGGAGCAGTGAATACGAGATGCTACGAGTGTTTTGGGTTGGCTCTCTGAAAGGCAACAAAGGTGATCAAAGGTGCGTCTTTTCTCCTTTCTTTGAAGGCGTCTATTAAGGCCTCATTGCTTCTCCACATGTGCCGGATTGTGAATCCTGCCTTCTGTGTGCATAAGATTGCAACAAGGCCGAGAATATGTGCAGCCTCAGTGGATTTTCGACTCGTTCAACATAGGCACAGCTCGAGAGGGTGACAGGGAGAGAGAGATTCCGTATATGTACTCAAGAGAAGGGAAGGAAGGCACGTTGAAGACAAAGAAAGATTAGAGAGAAAGGAAATAGAAAAAGACTGGAAAGAATAGGACAGGTGAACCTGTGGAAAGAATAGGCCAGAACGGGTAAGGCAATGGTGGCAATGCTGGCAATACTAGTGCTGCTATGCTTGCAGCGAATGGGGACCTGGGTTCCCAGTCCAGTGTGCTCCTTGCTCGCGTTCGATCCGCATGCCATGCAAGCGATACAAGCGATACAAGCGATGCAAGCGATACCCTATATCAAACAAAGTTGTCATAAGCTGTCATAAGTTGTTGTAAGATGTCAATGATGATTATCTGAGAATTATCTGATTATCCTGGTCCACGGATGCATGTTCTAATTGCCAATTTGATGCAGGACATAGGCTGAACAAATCTTCATTTCCTTGTAACTTGTCATATCTCCATGTCGCAGAATTCTTAATCAAACGACTGTCTGTTTGTGACTGTGATAGGCTTGCAATAGCCTTATGTTGCAGGCTGCCAGCTGCCAATAGCACCATATGCGCCTGGGCGCACACAGTCTAGAACTCAGAGACTCTTTTGATGGAGTGCTTTTAGCATTGTCAGCAAACCAAACAAGCCACGTGTTTCAACCTGAGCCCCTTCTTTGAGAAGAACTAAATACTTGTTGCTGCGTTTGGTTGGTAAAGTACATTGTACCTTTTCTCCACATCAGCTTGTGTAATGCGTCATTTCAATCCCAGTCGCATTGCCTCGCTTGTACTAACGATTGCAGAATTTTAAGATTGCTGGGTCAAAGTCTTGCCAACCCGTTGATTTCAGAATACTTACCTCCATCTTTTTTCTGGCCTGTGCCCGTCTACTATCAATATATACTGTATATAATATATATATATACATAATCTCATAAACATGTACGTACGTACATCGACATACAATGACAGACATTGACAGACATTGACATACATTGACAGACATTGACAGACATTGAAATACATTGACATACATTGACAGACATTGACATACATTGACATACTTTGACATACATATACATACACATACATACACATACATACATATACATACCTACATATACATACCTACATATACATAGTACATATACATAGTACATATACATACCTACCTATACATACCTACCTATATACATACCTACCTATACATACCGACCTATACAAACCTGCCTATATACATACCTACCTATACATACCGACCTATACAAACCTACCTGTACATACATACATACATACATACAGACACACACACACAGACACACAGACACACAGACATACATACATACATACATACATACATACATACATACATACATACATACACACACATACACACATACACACACACATACACAGATACACACATACATCATACATACCTACCTACCTACCTACCTACCTACATACACACATACACAAATACACACATACACACATGCACACATACACACATACACACATACACACATACACACATACACACATACATACATACACACATACACACATACACACACACATACACACATACACACATACACACACACACATACACAGATACACACATACATCATACATACCTACCTACCTACCTACCTACCTACATACATACATACATACATAAACACATACACATACACATATACATATATATATACAAATACATATACATATACATATACATATACACACATACACACATACATACATACATACATACATACATACATGCATGCATGCATGCATGCATGCATGTATACACACATACACACATACACACATACACACATACACACATTCACACATTCACACATTCACACATTAACACATTCACACATTCACACATTCACATCCACATACATACACACACACATACATCCATCCATACATCCATACATCCATGCAACCATACATCCATACATCCATACATCCATGCATCCATGCATCCATGCATCCATGCACCGATCCATCCATGCATCCATGCATCCATACATCCATACATCCATATATCCATGCATCCATGCATCCATGCACCCATGCATCCATGCATCCATGCATCCATGCATCCATGCATTCATGCACCCATGCACCCCTGCATCCATGCATCCATACATCCAGGCATCCATGCATCCATGCATCCATGCATTCATGCATCCATGCATCCATGCATGCATCCATCCATCCATGCATCCATGCATCCATGGCACCTATGCATCCATGCATCCATGCATCCATGCATCCTTGCATCCATGCATTCATGCATCCATGCATCCATACATCCATGCATCCATGCACCCATGCGTCCATGCATCCATCCATCCATGCATCCGTGCATCCATGCATCCATGCATCCATGCATCCATGCTTCCATGCATCCATGCATCCATGCATCCATGGGTGCATGCTTGCATGCATCCGTTCATCCGTTCATCCAGGCATCCATGCATCCTTGCATCCATGCATCCGTGCATCCATTCATCCATGCATCCATGCGTGCATGCATCCATGCATCCATGCATCCATCCATCCATCCATGCATTTATGCATTTATGCATTTATGCATTTATGCATTTATACATCCATGCATCCATGCACCCATGCACCCATGCACCCATGCACCCATGCACCCATGCACCCATGCATCCATTCATCCATGGCATCCATGGCATCCATTCATCCATGCATCCATGCATCCATGCATTCATGCATCCATGCACCCATGCATCCATGCATCCATGCATCCATGCATCCATGCATGGATGTGCATGCGTGCATGCAGGCATGCACACACTCATTCATACAAATGATGTAAGCTAGCACAATAACCTGACCTAGCGCCGCCTGATGTCCATACGTGCCTCCTTCAGCCAAGATGTTTGTCGCTCTATTCGCGGTTCTGTTGTTTTCTTGACATGCGTATACATATATAATAGTATTGATATATGTAGCAGGTGGCGGAAGTTTCAAAAATAGGAAACCAATAGGAGAGATTGGTTGTTGTGAATCACGGATGGCAGAGCGAAGCCACTGATGGACAAAGGTGGTTGAGGTCTCCTCTCTTTTTCTTTTTCTTTCTCTTTCCCTGACTATCTACCTACCTGCCTACCTATCTATCTATGTATGTATATTTCTATGTATCTCTCTCTCTCTCTCTCTCTCTCCCCCTCTCTTTACCTAATTGCCTATCTACCTATCTATCTATCTACCTATCTATCTATCTATCTCTCTCTCTCTCTGTCTGTCTATCTACCTATCTATCTATCTATCCATCAATCTATCTATCTATCTATCTATCTATCTCTCTCTCTGTCTGTCTGTCTGTCTATCTATCTATCTATCCATCTATCTGTCTATCTATCTATCTATCTATCTATCTGCAAGCTTGAAAACGAAGCTATTCTGCGAGACTTCCTCAGTTTTTGAACTTGACAACATCAAAAAACGCAGCAATTCTGCGAGACTTCCTCAAATTTTGCACCTGACAACATCAAAAACGAAGCAATTCTGCCAGACTTCCTCATTTTTTAAGTTGACAACATCAAAAACGAAGAGATTCTGCGAGACTTCCTTCAAAAATGGAAAGTTGAGTGCAGAGCTGACGGCCTCGTACCAATGCGTTTTGCGATTTTTTGACTCCACCTGTCTAAACTACTGCGCCTGCCACGAAAAAGTGATACCGGGTCATATGAAGTGCTGCGCCTGTCACGCAAAATCATCTCAGCAAACCTGAAGATTTGATGCTCCAAAACGCAACCCCTCTCAGGAAATCAGCGCCCGGACCTCCTAACAGCTCTGATGAACATGTCTCTTGTACTGCGCCTGCCATGGAAAATGCATCTTTGCAGATCCTCTTCAAATGTCCCACGCCTGCCATCGTTTTTGGACATGCAACAAAACCCCCACGTTTTGCTCACGTTTTGCTCACGTTTTGCTCACTTCTGACAAGGTGCACAATCCCTTGCGCGTGCCACGCGAAACGACATCCGAGCATGTGGTGTTCTTAGTATTTTGACTAAAAATGTGCTTCACGTCACAACGGCGTGCACTTTTTCGACATGTCAACTTCCAAAGGTGGTCCGACACTGAGGTGTTTTGTACATTTTGACTTGGAAATGTGCTTCGCGCCACGACGCCGTGCACTATTTTTGACATCTCAACTTCCAAAAGTGGTCCGAAGCTGGTGTGTTTTGCACTTTTTGACTTGGAAATGTGCTTCGCGCCACAACGGCGTGCAATTTTTCGACATCTCAACTTCCAAAAGTGGTCCGAAGCTGGTGTGTTTTGTACTTTTTGACTTCGAGATGTGCTTCGGGCCACAACGACGTGCACTATTTTGACATCTCAACTTCCAAAAGTGGTCCGGAGCTGGTGTGTTTTGTGCATTTTGACTTGGAAATGTGCCTCGCGCCGCAGCGGAATTTTTCATCTCTCATGTGCCCAGCGGGCTCCGCACCCGCCGCTTTAGCGAACCTACTTTTCGACCCTCCGCAGCCACAAATCATTGGAAAAACATAGCGCTTCGCGGCTTTCCTACCTTTTCGCGCACCTGGATCTTCTTTCTTCTGAGACTTTCTCCTTTTTGATCTTCTTTCTTCTTTCTTCTTTCTTCTTTCTTCTTTCTTCTTTCTTCTTTCTTCTTTCTTCTTTCTTCTTCCCTTCTCTTCTCTTCTCTTCTCTTCTCTTCTCATCTCATCTCATCTCATCTCTTCTCTTCTCTTCTCTTCTCTTCTCTTCTCTCTTCTCTTCTCTCTTCTCTCTTCTCTCTTCTCTCTTCTCTTCTCTCTTCTCTTCTCTCTTCTCTTCTCTCTTCTCTCTTCTCTTCTCTTCTCTCTTCTCTTCTCTCTTCTCTTCTCTTCTCTTCTCTCTTCTCTTCTCTTCTCTTCTCTTCTCTCTTCTCTTCTCTTCTCTCTTCTCTTCTCTCTTCTCTTCTCTCTTCTCTTCTCTCTTCTCTTCTCTTCTCTTCTCTTCTCTTCTCTTCTCTTCTCTTCTCTTCTCTTCTCTTCTCTTCTCTTCTCTTCTCTTCTCTTCTTCTCTTCTCTTCTCTTCTCTGACTCTTCCCACCTCTGCTTTTCATTTGCCCATATTGACCATATTGTCGGAAGTTTCATGTCTAAACTTCGTTCGATAATATTATATGTATGCCCGTCTAATGCATGTGTCCCGAAAAATTGACACACTTCTTCACCTGTGAACCTGCTTTATCTCCACATGTCCACACCATTTTGGGGTAGAATTGAAACGAAGGACGCGCATACTAAACCCAACGCTGCCCAGGCTGGGCGACAAACCAAATGAGTACGGGCACTTTACAGCGAAACCATAAGACCAGAAGAAAACCTACAACTGAGGTATGTTGGGCAGTCATGACTGGCTAGCCCGAATCGAAAAAAATCGGATTCAGAAACTCCTCTGTATTTAGAACCTACGATTCAGAAACTAGAATCAAGAGCCCCAACAGTGAACATTTCAAAAACCAAACATATTTTGAGACAAAGAAGTCGGGACGCTCTGTCAGAACATCATCCAAAGAGAAGAGACAACGCTCCCAAAAATTCATCTCAAACCCGGATCAGGGTATCAGGGTGAAGGATGAAAAAGAAAATAGAAGGGCTTCCAAGTCCAAGTAGACAGGACATTTCAACAGGGGGAAACAGGATCTAACCGAGAAGAGTAAGGAGGTACTGCAGAGAGAATGCGGAAAATTGAGACACCAGAAAAGAATGGAGGTACTGACATATCTTGACCATTTTGACACGGGATTGGAAGTTTAAGATTATGTGGTAACAAGGTTAAATACATAGTACGCGGGTACCTAGCTACGCATAGCATGGATTGGCTGAGTTTTGTGAAACGCATAGGAAATATCTTCTAGATTTTCTCATGATTTTGGTCACGGACTAGGGTGGTTCATATGCGTAGGCCAACGATTCTTTGATTCAATATTCAATGGTGGGTCTTTCGCAGCGAGAATGAACACTTAGATACTTGGATCAGCGATCACATCACATTTGGGGTTGCAATAAAAATACAGCAACTCTATGCCAGACACGAGACGCTGTGTATCAAGTTTCTTGTTTCAGAGACATCATACATAAGAGCTATAAGACATCCATGGACTTTGGGGTATTTCACTGTCTATGTTTGGCACCCTGGAAGAGCGGAGCATATTTTGGTGAAACTGTAAGTTTTGATGCTGCAGAATGTGCTCCACACTTCCTTTTCTCATGTCAAGCCAGATTCATAGTTTTCTGGCTTGTGCGGATGGACTCGCACGATCCATTTTCCTTACCTGACGTTTCTAGTCCAGTCAATCCAGCCTTGGTGCTTCAATGTGAAGCAGCCGAGACTTTTCAGATTTATTTGATGCCTTTCAAACTCTGAATGTTCAGCATTTGCTTGCAGGCCACCACATTTGTCACCATTTGTTGACGTGCGCTGGCATGTTTCGTCCGAGACATGCTTACTTTATCTTGTTTTTGTAACACACCTTAGTGGCGAGACCAGCAAATCTAATTCCGAAACGAAGCAAAGTTGTCAAAGGAGTTGGAACACGCACCCATCAAATAAAGCACTGAACGCTGGAAAAGTCAACGAAGGGCAACAAAGGGGAGGCATCCACCAGCCTGGTCACTGCCGTTTTACTTGCACCCAGAACATTCAGGGTCATATCGGCGATTCAAAAACAGATTTTGGCAAAGTTTTTCAGATATGCTTGTGTTTTTGGCAGTTCGCTGTTTTCTATTAGCAATTTGCCTTTGCAGTGTAACGTTTGGAAGAGCATACAGCATCGCAGTAGAATTGGGAAGACAGATGGGTCAAATCAGTGGAAACACTTGTGCACGTACTGACGAATGAACGGGGTAGAAGTGACCTTGGAGCAGATTCAGAGTGCATCTGAAACTCAACTTGCTGGGAAGGTGCAAGGTTGCTTGCGTAAGTTGCAGAGATTGGCAGCTACTGAATGCTGTACATGTCAGATACGTGTCAGATACATGTCAAATTCCATTCAACCAAAATTAATGCTCGAACTCAGCCTGTAATCTTTGTTGCCAGGACAAGGTTGAAGGCTACATTCCACGCCAACGGGAGGTTCTGGATCGCTTTGCTGAAGAGGCTCAAAACTAGCAGTTTGCATTTGATGGAGAGCTAGGTGGCCTTCCTTGTCAGTGGATCCATATAGATAGTGCTATGATCTCCCAGCGGATTGGATAGCTAGATTGTGATAGTGGAGAACTTGAATGCTAGCTGCTAACTCTTGTCTTGAAATACATGGTGCAGAAAGTACTTGCAATCGCAATGGCAGACAACGAATCAGCCAAACTCGGTACAACATCGTAAGATAGTTTCACAAATTTTTCGCCGCCCTTGCATTAAAAGCTAGCTTTATAATAATGCTTATTATATGTTTCACAGTTTCATATAGTTTGTGGATGTTTGTGGTCAATATCAATAGCCATACTCTCGTCAGGAGAATTTTAGTTTCTTTTCCAGGTATCGGGCAAAATCCGCGCTGACACTGCAGAGGCACGTGTATATATATATACACATCTATTCATACACACACACACACAGATTGTACAAGTGGACCAAAAAGGAAAGAGCACAAAATCCTTTCGAACATGTGCTAGTCATATCTGGTCATGAAGAGTGCAACCTTTGTCGCTTTGTCACTTTGTCAAATCTGAAGGATGCCAAAGCTGAAGGAGGGTCCTTGGCAACTGGTGGCTTGCACCAGTTTGGAGAGGATCCGATCGAGTCCAATCAAGTACCATTCACACTGAATTCACACTGGCTTAAACGACGTGAACACGAATTGAAGCTGTTTGAAGCTGTTCAATGAAAGTGAAGCTAAGAAGCTAAGACGATGAATGAATCCGGCGTGTTTGCAAAGGAGCTGCGCGCAGAATCTGAAGGCCTTTGGCACTCAGAGCTGGTTTCTTAAAGCAAAGCAAACCTTGGAAAGCAAAAGGAAGGAAAGACTGAGCTTTGGAGCTTATGAATCAGTCTGCAAAATTCTGAGCTATTCTGAACCATTCTAAACCCTAGCGCGCTTTTCACGCTGAGGTATCAGAAAAAGAGAGAAGACGTAGCTGCTGCCAAGATGGTCACTGAAGATGTTGGAGAGGACCGGGTGGATGGGGCCTGAGTCGGATTGTGAGGGTGAAGAGTTTCTGCAAAGAGCTTCCTGCAGAATTTTGCTTCACAGTTGCGAGGTGGTGGCGTGTAAAGGTGCCTGCTATATAAAACAGTCTTGGACAAATTCCAGTAGTAGGTTTCACATCGAGGTTCTAAGACAAATGGCAGTTTCACATACTCTTGGTGCTGACAGAGGATTAGGCTTTGTGCTTTCAGCATCGCAAAATAAAAAAGTATCACACTTTCTCTGGCATAGCCTTGACTTAGATTCTATTCTCGTTCGAGTGACTTCCCAAGCAGGTGGAAATGGAGGAGGTGAAGCCACAAAGGCATGATGCCGAGCCATTCTTGTTGAGTTCAAGTTGAAAAATCCGGTGGCAACCCTTGTTTGCCACCACTTGCAGCCGGAGCAACACAGCCATCAACGTTGAGAAATTTTTCCATTCGCTCGCAGATAAGTACGTTGATAAATTGACAAATAACAACTGCCGGCAACAAGGACTTGCAAGAACAACATCAACAGTAAGAGCAATACACTGGGGTAAGAATAAGCAATAAAAACAGTAATAAGCCATAAGCAATGATCGATAAGCAAAGCAACAGCAACAGCAACAGCAACAGCAACAGCAACAGCAACAACAAGAACAAGAACAAGAACAGCAAAAACAACAGCAACAGCAACGATAAGAACAACAACAGCAACAGCAGCAGCAGCAACAACAACATCAGCAACAACAACTGCGTAGCAAACACTGGAGCAAACAAGTGCGGCATTGAGGAAACAAGCGCAGTAAAAAAAATGACGGAAGGGGGAGGAAAAGGATACCAAACAACACACACACATACACACACTAGGGCATTTGCTGCAGCGATGAAACGGCAAGCGCCAGCAAAAACGACAACAAGCACAATCAAAGTGATGAGTAAAGATGACATCAGAAATTGTCGCCTGCCACACAAGTACAACCAGAAGGCAAACATGAAGAACTCACCACGATGAGTGACGTTGTATGCAGAGTCTGCAGAGTCACATTACAGTGACCATGGGACTGGTTGATCCAGGCCTTCAGAAGCCGAGGAAGAGAGGCTGCGAGCCAAAGCCAAAGTCTTAGGATATTTCTTCTGGACTGTGCAGCCATAAGACAAAGGAAACCTGTATACAAACATTATACATATACGAGCATATATATAATATATATATATACACAAATATACACACACGCGTATAATTCCATATAAATGCATACACCTGTATGTTTGTTTATATATGCATATATATATACTGTATATTTATATACATGATTATATATACACATAATATATATATACGTATATATATATACACGTATATATCTGTGTATATGCGTGTAAATGTTTATGTACAAGTATATGTTTATGACGGTATGTATACACATACATATATGTATATCTCTATGTATATCTCTATGTATATGTATATGTATATTGTATATGTCTAATGATTGTAATGACTCACACACACATATATATATACATAAATGTTATATAAAGCAGTTGTTACTGTACAGCACAAAGATGCACAGAGTCTGAGCGTCAGAGCCATGAGGCGTTGATGCCAAAGAAGCACAAGCGTTTGCTCCAGCGAATTGAAAACGCAGAAGCTCGAAAGAAGGAGGCAACGACAAGGCCAGTGCTGCACCAGCCAGGAACCTTCAAAGTTTCCTCAGTTCAAAAATGACTAAATCGATGGCCGAAAACTTTGAAGGCCAAAACTTACAGACTTACAATAAGTTGGAGGACCCTTGAAGATTGAGAGCAGAAAGCATCCCGCACTGCTTGGACAACTGACCTCTGAATGGTACGTGGCAGTACTTCAGAATGCTAATGGTGACTTGTACACGAAATATGTCGTCAAACTCGATAGCATTGTAATATATTGAAATCAGTAGGGAAAAATGATGTGTACTCATCCAGTCCCTGCCAGGGACTAGAGTGACGTGGAATCCATACTCGAGTGATGTGCTGTAGATGGAACTTACGAAGTGGAGAATGTGTTTCTGTGAAAAAGTAGAGCACGACTGAGTGCACTGCATTGAACCTATCGGGAATGATTTGTTTAAGTGCGGTTGCATCTAGGAGCCTCAGAACCAGTCTGAATCTAGATCACCATACCATTTGTTTGAAGAGTTCATCCCAGCTGTGTTTTTGGTTGGGGCAACCCACGAAGAGTTTTTTTGTTGGTTTTTGAACATGTTCATGCTTTTGTAGACATATCAGAGAGCGTATTTGGGTGCTTCCTGCTCATGTTTCAGCAACTGCTTTGCTTTGGTAGGAGCCATGTACGTGCCTTCAAACTCTTTCCTTCCGTCATTCCTACACTTGGGGGCTGTCATGACCGTCAAAATATATGCAAATGAATGAATGAAATGAAGTGAAGTGAAATGGAACGGAACGGATGAACGTGAATGAATGAATGAATGAAGGAAGGAATTAATGAATGAATGAACGAACAAATGAATTGATAGAATTGAATTGAATTGATTGATTGAATGAATGAATGAATACATGAATGAATAAATCGAATGCGTACATGAATGAATGAATGACATGAACTGAAATAAAATGAAATGAAATGAAAGAATGAAAGAATGACAGCATGAAAGAATGATGAATGAATGAATGAAAGAAAGAAACAGAGAATGAAAGACAGAAAGACAGAAAGAAAGAAAACAGCAAGAAAGAAAGAAGGAAAGAAAGACAGAAGGAAAGAATGAAAGAAAGACAAAATGAATGACATGAATGACATGGAATGGAATGGATTGGAGTGGAATGCAGTGGAAGGCATGAAGTGATAATAAATGAACGAATGCATGAAGGAATGATGGAATGAAGGAATGAATGCATGAATGAATGAACGGATGCATGAATAAATGAAGGAACTAACAAATAAATGAGTCTATCAATGAAGGTAATGGAATGTAATGTAGTGTAGTGTAGCGTAATGTAGTAAAGTGCAACGTAGGTCAATGTAATGTAATATAACATGATATAATGTAATACAATGTAACGCACCGCAATGTACTGGCATTCGGAATGTATGTAGCACAAGTTGGCAGTCTGTGGAGCGTGTGTAATGTGCTTAGTGCATTTTACAATCTATGCGTACCTATTTATATATATGTGTGTATCTAAATGAGCAAGGGCGTATATCTTTAAATGTATTCAAGGGTATGCACGTATCTATCTATCCATGTGCCTATGTATCTATGAATCTATGTATGCATGTGTGTATATCTGCAGCCATGTATGTATGTTATGTTATGCAATGTAATGCAATGTAATGCAACGTAATGTAATGTAAGTATGTAAGTGAAGTCAAGTGAAGTACTGTTCATGTAATGCAATGCAATGTAGTGCAATGCATGTATGTACTCTATATATATACACACTTATAATTATAATGTAAATAACTTATGTAATGCAACCAGTCTATATCATGTATATCATGTCTGAAGATTATATGATCTTTATGATCTACATATATAATCTATAATTTATGCATACGTATGTATCTATTTATTCATACATACGTGTTTATTATCCTTACACTCCCATTTTGATGCGCTTAGAAGAGCCAGCTGGTAGGTCAGGGTGTACTTGCGGTTTGCCATCGAAGTGAGTCTTCTATGTTGTAGGGTAGAAACGGTGAAGTTTTCAAACTTCCAACTCCAAACTTCATGGTGTCTTGGGGCAGTCCGTTTTTTTTTTTTTTGTAATATTTGTTTTCATTCGTGAAAGATCGAATGGGGGTCACTTTGACTATTATTTTCAGTCGTTGTATTTAGTCACCGCAAAGAGCACTTTTACCACCGGCTGGATCAGGCTGAAGAAAAAAGCCCAAGCAAATGCTTCATGATTTGCTTCATGAGCGGGCAGTAGATATCTCAGGAATCTGCAAAAGCAGACTGAGTGTACCATTTGCGCATCAGTAGTTACTGCGTCATTGTCTTTATTCGATGCATACATGGCACAGTTCCCAGACCTGTTAGAAATTTGTGCCGAATCCTTGAGTCCTCTTGGAAGCAGCTGATGCTTTGTGGTGTAAAACGCTCATACCTGGCTCTTTTGCCCTACGATGCGACAGACAGAGGCGGCCCAAAAAAGTTGCGCAAAGTTTCTGAAGCTTTCACATTTCCAAACGATTGAGTGAAACAGCGAATTGGCAAAGCATGCCAAAGCAAATCAAAACCAAGAGTGGCACAAATTCTTTGGCTTGCAAGCATGTGTGTGAGAGCATTTCTGATTCATGAGATACCCCTATCAAAAGCTGAGTGAATGTAAGGATGGTACTGGAGCATGTTGACAAGCTCCGTGTCATAGATGGTGTGGCGCAGTTTGGAGCAGGTAAACATCGTTTTCTTAGTGGCAGTATCAAAACACGAGCATGTCCCAATGGCTGATTGAAGCTTTTCGTCATGCCGTAAAGCAGTTCAACACTTGGACCACCAAGCGCAACAACACACTGCCTTCTCATGCAATGAAATGCTTGATGTCTTGAAGTCACAGACCAAACTCTCAGCACTTCAGAATCTCAACTGCTACTTGTTTCTCAGAACACCTGTTTCATCATGTGCCAAATGCATTCATGGCTTGGCAAGGCGGTGGACACCTGAGTTTGTCAAAGTCCAGTCGCAGCATTTACTGACTTTGTTGGTGGAATTATGGTGGAATCCTTCAGAATCCTTCAGATTTGTAAACGTGAGGTGCGTGATGTCGGCCGCCTGACCCTTTGAAAATGCAGAGTTTAGACAAGTCGAATTTCATAAATTTTGACACAAGTCAAGTCAAGTGAAGTCAAGTGAAGTTAGGTAGTCTTTTCTGCATGTCCTCTACTGCTTGTCACTTTTTATGCATTTGCCATCCTGTTCAGAGCACATAATATATTTGTTTGAGGAAGACGAACCAGAGCGAGCAACAAAAAAGTTGAAAGTGTGGCAGGACCTGAACCGCCTGAACCTTGTGATTTGATGATTTGGGACTGGGATTTGTCGATTTGTCCCAGCATTTGTCTAGTGCCCCCGGCGTTTTCCCAGATAGCTTCTTGGGGCTGGAGGCAAGCGCAAGGTCCCTGAGGTCCCAATTCTGGAGGCCAAACCATTTGTGTTAAATTTGTTAAATCCAGTGACAAAGCAGAAAGATCAGAAAGCAAAAGCGCCGTGCTCACTGTGCTCACTCTATAATGTTGACGTATGTTGTTTACAGGCCAGGGTGAAGACTGATAGGTACAGCGTTTTGATCCTGCACATGCATCTGTGCGCAGCTGTTGCGTTGTGCCAGCAATGTTCTCCAATCCACAAAGCAGACCATCAACAAAGCCATAGTGATCAAAGTTCCTTTGTTCTATGAATCAGGTCTTTTGGCGTTTGCTGTATTGTGCAAAATTGTTCAGGTTATGTAGAGCAATGGAAATCTAGTTCAAATGATCTTGGGGTTTCACGCCATTGTCCGGCTTGCTTTTCTGCGTTTACTTTGTGGAGCATTTGGCGCAATTTTAAGTTTATAGCGAATAAGGGCCCCTTTTGTGACTTTTACGTTGAGTGTGACACGGCCAAACAAATAAGCACGCAAGCTGTCAAGAGTGCTTGGAGGTCTTGATCGAAAAATAAAAACAGAAACAACACTTTGAACATACCACACTGTCCAGCACTTTATTGCTTGAACAAAGAGTAAGTTTCGATATCGCGCCCAGCCGATCTGAGAGGATGACGAACTGGAAGTGGATTCTGACGAGGAGGCGAAGGTGATGGGATTTGATTGCTGATGATGAGCTTTGATACTTTTTTAATCTTTTTTTGGGCAAGGGCCTGATTGCCCCCCAGGGTCAGCAGACTTCTACCGTGAAGGCGCTCACCAAGACGCGTGGTCAGGCCCCTCGCAGACTGTTTTGAAGTCGCCGCAATCTGATCAAAGACATGTGGTCGATTGTGGTTAATGGAGGATAACAAGTGATGCAGTGGTTTCGCTGTTTTGCGCAGGGTGCCTTTTTGAAAGATGCACCAGCCGAAGCTGACACACTGGACAAGTGCCCTTTGATTGCCAGTCTGCCAATGTAGTCGAGCAGTGCTTGAGAGTTTAGTTACTTCTTGTCAGAGAGTTTTGATTTCAAAACTGACCCTCGCTGCTCATGGCTTGAAATTATTTGCGATTTCGCCTTCACAACTAGGTTTGGTTGTGTCCCTACGGTCATGTCTCCCCAAAAATCTGCCGGGTGGCACGTACAGAGGTTGGCAAGATGCGTTACTTCTAGTCATTCTAGTCTCAGTAAGAACGGTTGTGACGATAAAATCAATTCAACGCACTGTGCACCTAGGTTTGCCAATCCCAATGCAATGCTTGCCATCCTGCTCTCGGTGTGCTTGCATTTTGAAGGAAAAGCAGCATTTGGTGTACGCAAGGCTGCTGCCAAGTGGTTTCTCGCTTTTGACCTTCCTACTACTGGGGATTGAATGCACGTCTTCGCGTAACACAGTCAAAAAACCTGAGAGGTTGTCGTCTTGAACCCTGTCGTCGCTCGTGAGAAGGGTAGGTGTTTTGTTCAGGCGTCTTTTCGTTCTAGATTCTATACTAATTAAGTACTATAGTTACTATAGAATTGCGGCAACGACAACTTGTGAAGCCCACGGTTCAGAAAGCAATTCAGTTGAACATGTTGTAAGAGCGTGCACAAAAACGTGAACGTGCGTAGAACACTTGTGTCCGTCCCCAACTATCAATCGTGCTTTCATGTGTACCTCATTGAGAATATGATCAACCATTTGTTGATAAAAGTTGAAGTGCATGACAGCATTGGTGATCAACAAGAATAGGAGGTAATCATTGAATGATAACGAATGTTGCAGGCACGTGAAAACGGCCTCCTGTTTCCATATTATATCACACGGGAGAGTGAAGGTCCCCGTTGGTGCCGATCTTCATTCAATCTCCTGGCAGCCCTGCTAATGACAGTAGCTTAACCACTTGGCAAAAAAGGACCGGAATAGAATTCAGACTTAGACAGCTTGGAACCTTCCTTGCCCGTGGAAGGCTAGGGGTTCACAACATACGCAATCGTGCGCCTCCATGCAGAATCACATGGACGTAGTCACACAATGTTTTTTCTTGCAGACTCTTTAGGAGCCCTATGGATGATTTGGTCAGGAGGCGCCAAAAAAAACAGCACAGCCAAAGAACTACATGACAGGCTGTAGAGGAAGCAAGTGGTTGAACGACCAACAATGCATGTCTTTTCTTGCGTGCAACAGCAGAAATGTGAATCACCCAAGTCATCCAAGGTTCGAGAACGGAAAGGCATAATGCGGCATAATTGCAGACTCTCTTGCGGCCTTGGAGCATGTGTGTAACTAAGCTGTAACTATTCCGTTCTTGTAGGTATATGTCTGACTTGAAAAACAAAGCGCCGGGAAACAAGGACTGCCACTATCATCCACTATCATCCACTATCCTTCATCCTTTGTATATTTGGTATTTTGAGTTGCTCTAGGCGTCCAGGCATTTTCTATTTCCCTTTGCCTGAGGAGTCAGATGATGGTGGTTTGGGAGTGGGCCTCTCAGCCAGGATGATCTTTCCTGATGCACTGTTGGTGTTACCTGATTTCTGCATCATAACTTGCAGCACATAGGGTCCCTGGTACTTACTAGTTCGCGGCGCAGTGTTGTGAATTGAAAGCATGCATTGTAAGTTGTATGTGTGAATTGGTGCGAAGCAAGGGTCCTGTGCCTCGTGAACCTGCTGAGTTCTTGTGATTTCTGGTTCTCAATATGATTCCTCATGCTTTCAGGTCATGGATGCGTCCAGGGTCAAATCCATTACCTTGGAAGAAATTGAGGCTCAAACCACTCAAGCTGAAAAGTTCAGAGTTTCCAAACATTGAATTCTCCAACTAGTGTGGAGCTCTGGATTTGGCAGGCCCTAATGGGAAAAAACCAGGACAGCTCTTGTCAAACAGAGGTTTCACTTTTTGGATCTCCGCTGGAAGACTACATATCAAAAAGTTGTTTGAAACGAGAAACCTAGACCAATGGCAGATGGGATCCCTCATTTAGAGCGACGAAGACCGAAGGAAAATGTCGTTTGTTCGAGAGCTTGAGGACTCTGAAAATGTAGGCAAAGAGGAGCAAGAAGGAGGGAGTAGCAGCGACTTGACTGCATCAACCAGTACCATTCGGACGTGTCAGTGGATGTTGCCAGCCAGAGCCAGCAAGTACCTTTTTGCAGGAAATTTGCACCTTTCCTGACCTGTCCTCTCTTTCCAGTCCCCTTAGTACAGAGCAGTGCCACGAAATAGAAAGGTAGTCTTTGTTTGTGCTATGAACTCTGGGATATCATTATCTCAACACCTGAGAGCCTTGAATGTCGTACATCAACTTTTTTCTTGCCCTACTCTGCATTTTGCGAGTTCTGCCGCATGCTGCGTCTATAGTCAAGACCCTGAACATTTTGATGCCTCAAAAATGCGGTGGACAGTACGACGGTAGATGGACAAAATATCAAATACTGCAGCAGCCTCAAGGTCACACACCCTGACCCCCAAATCTCAACCTTGCAGTGCACAGGCTACTGCGTGTGGTCTGGGGCGTTTGATGCCTTTTGTGGGTTTGGTTCTTCGCACCCATACCGACGCCAACATTGAACTTTGCCAAATCAAGAGTTTGATGACTTCTTCTATCCACGATAGGTTTGGGCATATCGCTGGGATTCCCACAAGACCGGTCCGGAATTCTTCGAAACGCCAAATCCTAACCCTTTGATACTCCCACATTGGCATTTCATTTGAGTTGCCTTTTTCTGCTTTAGTATGGCAAGTTTATGATTGCTTAAACAGGCATTGACATCCACGTTTTGGTTAGCTACTCGCCAAATATTCAAAAGCGAAGCAAAAACAAGGTCACGCCGTCCGCAATGACCCCGCTGATTTTCACTCTTTTTTCTGCTGCCAAGTCTCTGTTTTCACAACCCAGGGTTTCGTGTCTAGAGCATTTTGTGTAGACATGCAATTCGATTGGTATTTGAATGATGTCGTAATCGTTTTAATGATTTTGTATTGGTGGAAACGTGTTTTTGTAGTTGTAAGTTGTAGTTGTAATGTAGTGTAATTAGTGTAGTGTAGTTGCAGTTGCAGTTGTAGTTGTGGTGTGGTGTAATTAGTGTAGTGTATTGTAGTGTACTGTAGTGTTGTGCACTGTAGCGTGCTATAGTGATCTATAGTGTAGTGTAGTCTAGTGTATTGTAGTGTAAAGTAGTGTAGTTGTAGTTGTAGTGTAGCGTCGTGTAGTGCAATGTAGTGGGAGTTGCAGTTGTAGTCTTAGTGCAATGCAATGTAATTATATAGTGTAGTGCAGTGTGGTGTAATGTAGAGTAGTTGTAGTTGTATTTGTAGCTGAAATGTACTGCAGTTTAATTACTGTAGTGTATTGTAGTGTATTGTAGTGTATTGTAGTGTATTGTAGTGTATTGTAGTGTATTGTAGTGTAACGTAGTGTAGCTGTAATTGTAATTGTAATTGTAGTTGTAGCTGTGGTGGTGGTGGTGGTGGTAGTGGTGGTGGTAGTAGTCGTAGTAGCAGCAGCAGGAGGAGTAGTAGTAGTAGTAGCAGGAGTAGTAGCAGTAGTAGCAGTAGTAGTAGTAGTAGATAGTAGTAGATAGTAGTAGATAGTAGTAGTAGTAGTAGTAGTAGTAGTAGTAGTTGCAGTTGTAGCTGTCTATTATCTATCTGTCTATTTGCAAGCTTGAAAACGAAGCTATTCTGCGAGACTTCACGCAGCAATTCTGCGAGACTTCCTTAATTTTTGAACTTGACAACGTCAAAAACGAAGCAATCTGCGAGACTTCCTCATTTTTCGAAGTTGACAGCATCAAAAACGAAGAGATTCTGCGAGACTTCCTTCAAAAATGGAAAGTTGAGTGCAGAGCTGACGGCCTCGTACCAATGCGTTTCCGATTTTTCCACTCCACCTGTCTAAAGTATTGCGCTTGCCACGAAAAAGTGAGGCCAGGTCATACGAAGTGCTGCGCCTGTCACGCAAAATCATCCTCCCAAAACTGAAGATCTGATGCTCCAAAATGCAACCCCTCTCAGGAAATCAGCGCCCGGACCTCATAACATCTCTGATGAACATGTCTCTTGTACTCCGCCTGCCAGGGAAAATGTATCTTTGCAGATCCTCTTCAAATGTCCCACGCCTGCCATCGCTTTTGGAAATGCTACAAAACCCTCACGTTCTGCTCTCTCATCTGCCCAGCGGGTTCCGCACCCGCCGCTTTAGCGAGCATACTTTTCGACCCTCCGGAGCCACAAATATTGGAAAAACACAGTGTTTCGCGACTTTACTACCTTTTCACGCGCCTGGATCTTCTTTCTTCTGAGGCTTTCTCTTTTTTGATCTTCTTTCTTCTTCTCCTCTCTTCTCTGACTCTTCCGATCTCTGCTTTTCATCTGTCCATATTGTCGGAAGTTTGACTTCTAAACTTCCCCTCGACAAACACACTTAAACTCATTTAAACATAATATATACATATATATATGCACATACATACATATATACGCATACAAGTACATATAAATACATCAACATGCATCCAATACATACTGTATCATTGCAAAAACCACATACATACATATCAATACATGCAAATACATGTAAATACGTGTGAATGCATATAATATAAATACAACTAGGATGCCTGATCCGCCATCGGTCCAATAGCAAGTGTTTAGTAGATATGTCAACAAATAGTTTTAAATTTTCACATTTTAACATCTCAACTTAACATTTTAAACTTTTAACATAATCTTGACATTTTAACATCTTGACAGACATTTTGACATGAATTTTACATGCATGTTAGCATTTTTTACAGACATTTTTAAACCTACATACATGCATACATACGTACATACTTGCATGCATACATGCTCATACATACATACATACGTGCATACATTTTTACATATATACATGTCTACATACATACATTTTGACATACATTTTTACATACATGCATCTTGACATACATACATTTTTACATACATGCATTTTTACATACATACAATTTTACATACATACATTTTGACATACATACATACATACATGCATACATGCAGACATGCATACATACATACATTTTGACATGCATACATTTCTACATACATACATACATACATACATTTTTACATACATACATTTTCACATACATACATACATTTTTACAAATATACATTTTTACATACATACGTTACAAACATGTATACATACATTTTTACATACATTTTTACATACGTGCATTTTACATACATACAATTTTACATACATATATTTTTACATACATGCATTTGAAAAACATACATTTTTACTTACATACAATTTTACATACATACACTTCTACATACATACAATTTTACATACAATTTTACATACATACATCATACATACATACATACATACATACATACATAGATACATACATACATACATACATACATACATAATTACATACATACATTTTTACATATATACATTTCTACATGCATACATTTTTACATGTATACATTTTTACATACTTACATACATTTTTACATACTTAGATACATTTTTACATACTTAGATACATTTTTACATACATACATTTTTACATACATACATGTTTTTCATACATTTTTACATACATGCATTTTACATACATACAATTTTACATACATACATTTTTACATACAGTTCAAAAAAACATACATCTTTACTTACATACAATTTTACATGCATACATACATTTTTACATGCATACAATTTTAGTTACACACAATTTTACATACATACGATTTTACATGCATACAATTTTAGTTACACACAATTTTACATACATACGATTTTACATACATACAATTTTACATACATACAATTTTACATACATACAATTTTACATACATACAATTTTACACACATACAATTTTATATACATACATTTTTCCATCCATCCATCCATCCGTCCGTCCATCCATCCATCCATCCATACATACATACATAGATACATACATACATAATCACCACACTTTTCGTGGGGTGTAAGCAAGGGGGGCGTTCAACAATTTTGACCCCTGCGTATTTTTTCCCGATGGGGAAGGCTATATGTATCTTAGACCCTTCCTACGTCAAAAACCGTGCCCCGGAGAGGGGGGGTTGAAAGTCCGCAAGAGATACGTCACCCCGTACCCCCCTCCGAACCCCCCCCCCGTACTTTACGGATAGGGGGGGTGGGGGGAGGTGGGGGGAGGTAAAAATTGTTAAATGTCGCAACCCGCAAGCAGTTTGTAAACTGTTTGTGAGGTGTCTTTGTGGGGATGTAATCAACCTATGTCTGAGGTCCATAGTTCCTTGCAGAAAGTGTTGGAAAAAGAAGGTAAAACTAAGATAGAAAAATGTAACCATCCTACACCTGAGGCCTAAAATTCCTGGCAGAAAGTGCTTAAAAATGCAGGTAGAGATAAAATAAAACATGTAACCATCCTACACTTGATGTCCTTAATTCCTTTCAGAAAGTGCTCGAAAAAGAAGGTGGAGATAAGATAGAATCATGTGACCATCCTACACCTGAGGTCCTTAATTCCTTGCAGAAATTGTTTAAAAAGAAAACCAAATGTAACCATACTACACCTGAGGCCTATAATTCCTTGCAGAAAGTGCTTAAAAAGAAGGTAAATATAAGATTAAAAAAACACCATCCTATACATAATGTCCATAGTTCCTTGCAGAAAGTGCTCGAAAATAAAGGTGAGATTGATAAAATGTAACCATCCTACACCTCAGGTTCCACAGTTCCTTTCAGCATCAACATGACACATGTGTAGATCGTTATTATATTATGGTTGGATGGTCATAAGGGGGGCTAGATAGGAACCGTGGCAGAAGGGTGTTTAAGTTCGACCATGTAGGTAGATTTACCATGGGGACCCCATGAAGGTTCATTTGAGGTCCTTTTGAGGTCCATTTGAGGTCCTTTTGAGATCTTTATTTGTATTCTATTGTTTTTTTTTCAATAGGTAGGAGGTAAATTTGAAGACCTTCAACATCTAATTTTACATTTATTTGAAGTTCACGGATTTTCCAGTAATTTGCAAGGAATAATATACCTTCTGTACCTCTATATTACATGTGGAAATGATAAAAAAGGTGTAGAAAAAGTGAAAAATGTATCGGAAATACCAGGCAATTAGGGACCTACACACTTCCAGTTTGCATTTTTGATTTTCTGCAATTCTGCAGCTATTTGCAGACCTTCACACTATTTTTTTGCATTTTGTTTTTATTTTCTTACATTTTTTTCAAAAATGCAATGGACAATATTGAACACCCCCCTGCGTTTCTTAAGAAAATAAAGGAAATCCCGTAAAGAATGAGGGGACCCATTAAAATGAAATCTTGCAAATAAGATGCAGGCAGTTAAAAAAATAAATGCTTGCCAACATTCAACAGGACCACCTCCCTCAAAAACGTCTATATAAATTGTGTCTTGCAATTTGGGTACACCCCCACTCCTTAAAAGGGTAGTGATCAAACATACATACATACATACATACATACATACATACATACATACATACATACAGACATACAGACATACAGACATACAGACATACAGACATACAGACATACAGACATACAGACATACATACAGACATACAGACATACAGACATACAGACATACAGACATACATACATACATACATACATACATACACACATACAGAGATACACACATCTGCCTGCCTGCCTGCCTGCCTGCCTGCCTGCCTGCAAGAGGTATGTTTGTGCCTGAGACTTTATTGACTTTAGTGTTGTATGTCCGTTGGGCAACAGTTTTCCGCTCGCTTGTGTTTTTTTGCATCCAAAGTCGGCTAGTAATTATCATGTTCATTTCGGATTGCAGGAATATTCGCAAGAGCATGGATGATAATTAGAAAAATATGTGCTTTGTAAACTGTACTACGAGGAATGCGAAATGGCTAATCCATATTTCTCCTCTGCTTTTTGTTGCGCCTGGTTTGCTACACAGGTGGGTTAAGAGCATCCGCTGGTTCCATGGCACAGTTGACGTTTTGCCTACAACGTAGTTGCTACTGGGTGCTCAAGCCCAAGCGAAAGTTGGCACACCACCCCGTCCTTCACTTTCAAGTCAAAGTGAACGAGGCTGAGCACACGAAGTTTCATCATTCCCAAGACTCCAACGCACGCAGGGAATAACATGGCATCAAGTGTTTCTTCAAGCGCAAGCGAACATTCGCAAGTCCCCTCTCCCTCCAGGACTCCATAATTTATGTTTGATTTCAGGGATGATATATGGACTTCAGGCATGAGTCTTGGTGGGGAATGTCACGCCTTGAACCCGTACCTTTCATACATGAGCAACTAAGTTCGAGAATTTTTGTTCTTCCTCGTTTGAAAATAACATCAACAAGGTCTTCCTTCAATTTGACACAGTTTGTTCTCTACTATTCGTGTTAAAATTGTGGTCTCCGGAGGGTGGTTGTTGGTGGTGATGGTGAGAACATCACACAGTTTGAGTGGCACTGACCAGGTTCATGTTCAGTTCTTCTTTGTGCAGAGTAAGTAGTGTGCCTGCGTGACAGGTTCTGGGCAACTTCCAGCAGAGCCCCCAGAGTGTCACCAATACTTGGCTTGAATCTGCACCATGTTTCGTTTGCACTATGATTTTGACTTAATTCTTATGGGTACATTGTAACATGATAAATTTTAGCAGTTGAGCTGGTCGAAGTCTTGAGGCCGAAACAGTGGATAAATCGGTGGATGCAGATGACGAGGTCAAACGGCCAGATTGGCCATATCCAGTGCTCTCTCCTATCCAAATGCCTCAGGGGTGCGTGTCCTGGTGTCGTGGTGTCACTGTTCCTATGACATTATGACCGCATCCAAAGTCGATGGTAGCCTGGCTTTGGCTTTGGTTTGTGTGGACAACTTGAAGGGTGAAGACAAAGACACACGAAGCATTGTTTGCAGTTTGGTGTACATGAAGAGGCGTATTTATATTTCATTATTACATCGGTACGCACTCTCGCCCTTTCAATCACTGTCACGTAGATTTGATTAAAAGAAATAACATGATATCACATTACCATGTATTGCTGATTATATGCGTGTACATACTACCTAGTCACATTCCATACGTACACATGTACACACATGCGGAACGCATTTTGCGAATATGGCTATTTCGTACTGACAAACATCTATGTGGGCAGTGTGCGAAGACACTTTTGGACTTCGGCTGTGGTCCCTGTGAAAAGTTTTTCCTCCAAAGTTGGAACGCATTTACAGCTTTTAAGTTTGTATCGCCAAATACTTGTAGATTTCCGCCCGCTCCATGTCATTTTCCTTCAGAAACCTGCGCGTTTCTATTCTTTTGTGTGTCATCCAAGCATATCCTAGCCGCCTATTGACAATTTAGGTATTTGCCCCATGTATGACTAAAAGTCACCATATTGGTGCCTTATCGGCTTATCGAAGACAAATGTTTCGGCCATACTGAGCCTATGTGTCGCAGGTCCAAAAGTCTTCAATTTACAGAACCAATGTGGTCAAAGTCCAGCATTTTTTTTGCTGATTGTTTTTACCCGTCACTTTAAACAAAGCAGTCAACGTGCTAGCGAGTAGTCTGTCTTGTACAATGTCTCTGTGCGCGGCCCATGTTTTCTGGTGACATGTACTTTGCCAACATATGTGTCCTTGTGCCAGGACTTCCATGCTGCATTTATAGCTGAGATGCGGAAGCAGCTCAGTGGCAGAATGTCGCACCATGCACTCCCAGAATGCAAGTATGAGCAGAATGCGTTCACCAGCTTTCTGAGCTGGAACAAGACAAGTCATGACATCTGTGATCAGGTTGCGAGGGGAAGCTGATCGAGATGTGACTGGATCTGCGAAGGTTTGGGCATAGACCAATTTGCCTTGGACAGGTAAAATAGGTAAAAAGGCTTGTGCTGGGTTCTTTCAAATTCGTTCGACTCATGTGACTCCTGTCTCAACTGTTTCAGGACTTTGAAGCATCAAAGAAGTTTTTGGGAGAAAGACCTGGGTTTGTCTTCAAGCGAGGAAGAAAAGGGTACGAAACTGAGATGTTTGGATTCATGTTTTTTCAATGGAGCATCACATTGAGCTGGTGGAATCAGTTAAGCTGTTTCGGTCAACTTGGCCAGGCTTGGATACTATCGTGATGTTGGGCCCTTCGGCACTCTCAAAGAGGCTGTGGTGCTTATGTTGTCCAAATCATTTTCTATTCAACGCTTTAAGTTTTGAGACAGTGAAGGGGGATGCATTTTCATGGAAGTACTTGTTGGACATGGATGATATTGTGATTCTGCCTTCTGATAGTGACAGGAAAACGCGGTCATCATGTCACTCATGCATAAGCTTCCTGCACAGCATTTTGCTGATATTTCTCGTCCACATATTTCAGGTAGTCTTTGCTTTTCTTGTTCATGAGTACAGCACTAACGGTCACGCTTTCAGTTTTTGTCAGTCCTTTGAAATGATTGGAGTGCGAGGCGAAGCAGCCGCCCGACGCGGTGAGGAACTCGGCGTTAAAGGTTGAATCGCGACAGCACCTTGCAATTTCCTTTGCACCTTGGCTGTCACTTTTTCCTTGTCAAAATCCTCTTGGAATTGCCCGTATCGGATTTTGTGGGCTTTCTGGCAAGGTCTCCAGTAGCTCTTTGCCTGATTTTCGAAGAGCCGGTAAGGCAAGACCTATACGACTTGCCTCTGGTGACTCTTTCGTGACACGTTTTTGTCCTTTGAAACGCTGTGAAGATGCCGTTCTCGTTCGAGGAAGCTGCCGAAAGCTTCCCACATCCCACACTGCTAGCACAAAGCTTGCACAGTGTTTGGCACATTTTGGCACAGCTGCATCACGGGCTGAGGCGAAGAAAGCTTTTGATGAAGATCTTGGAGGCCTTGCTATTCATAGTCGTGCTTCACCGCTTGGAAGCATCGGAGCATGTCTGAGACTAAATCAGGTCAACCAGATGATGCAGATGATGAAGGTGATCAGGACTGTTGGACCTATAAAGTGGGTTTTTCTTGCAGCTCGGTGGTCAAGGCAACCTCACTTGGAAGGGGGGTTTCCTCAAAAGGTACAGAAACTGATAGTTTAGGTGACTTCAACGCAGGGTCCGGAAAGTCGTGCTTGGGTCTCTTGGGTACAACTTTAAGACCTTTCGGACCCTCAAACTGCATCAAACCGCGAGGCAGTTCTGACTGAAAACTTGCGGTTGTATTGAACAAGAACCAACAATCGCCGTTACTTGCAAGCTCCTCAAGAAGCAGCAAAATTTATTGCTGCAGTGTGCCTGCCTTGGTGGGAGCGAGCATGGTACCCGAAAAAGCATGTAATGCCCCGAAGTCAAAGTGCTTACCCGAAACATTTGACAGACAAAGTAACAAACCGTACTCTTCTCACTCTTCTCCGTCAAATGACAGACCCAGCAGACCTGTCCATAGAATCTTAGATGATAGATCCTCAAACTCGCTACTGTCCAAGTCCGCCAGGATCACAGTCCCAAATGTCATGCAATGTCATGCGCATCAACCTTGTAGTACCAAAGGTATGATCGTTTCGCATTGGATAAGATTTTGCTGTTGCAGTCATTGAGCTCATTTAAAGGTGGCCCCAGAGAAGTACAAGCAGCGGTGTGATAAGGTTTGACAGCTTTGAAATACATGATTGTTCAAGGGTCATGAGACATCCCTGCTCGACCTGCAAAACTGGAGACCAGAAAGAACACGCATAGCTTAGAATCAATAGTGTAGTAACACAAAAGAGTTGGTTTTGTCTTCTCCCTGGTCCAAAGCATCAAACAGCTCACCATGTCAGGATCTCGACAACGAGCCTGAGGCGGTTCACTAGACATGTCCCTGAACAAGGGATAAACCAGAGAGAAATTATGACTGACTTTGACTCTGACTTTGACCCTGTGTCACTTGCATCATTCAGTGACCAGGCTGACGAGGCTGCAGAAGATCTGACAATGAAGGCTTTGCGTGGCAGAGATTTGAACACTGATCTGACGGTGACTCTTGAATGGTCTTGGCTGGCCATGGAAGCATCATGCGATGGAGGTTGAAAAGGAAGTTGAAACAAAGAAGGCTCATCTTGTCTTGGGAACCATCTATGAAAGTTCTTTCTTTTGTCTCAATGTAGAAGAGTCGAGTGTGTTTTGATATTTTCCAAATCAGATCTCTTACTGAGACATGATTTCATTATTTTTGTTTTGATTTCTTTCATTCACGGTCCGAAGGATTCCTGTCTACCGCGGTGTGCCATGGTGTAGTGTGGCGCAGCATGTACCACACTATACAATCAATACAATGACTTTCAACCGCCTTAAGTGCTCAAGGAGAAGCGGCGGAAGCGCCGCGAGGCAAAAGAAGCTGAAGCTAAGGCCGCCAGATTGAGCCACACACGAGGTTTGTGCTGACTAAGTTTGACATGACAACATGATACAGCATGAAGGGTCACAAAATGGTCACAAAATGTCTCGTGATAATGCCAGGCCAAAGCTGAAACCGCCAAGAAGCGTGCCAAAGACGGATTCGGCGAAGGTGATGGAGATTGGATGGACAGTGATCCAGACAGGCGTGAAATCCGAGGTTTTCTCAACTGTGAAGAGATATGAAAGCATACGATTGATAGAGATTGAGGTCCCAAGTTCGCTATGGTTCACCCAAATCGTTTCACTTTTGGTTGAAATGCCTAGCAGAGTCTAGCACTTCTCAGGAGTGAGCAGTCGAGCGAAGAGCAGATGGAGTCGTACTTTGACCTTGTCAAACGCTTCACCACAAAGAAAACCCTGCCAGCTGCAAGTCCAGCCTGTTTGATCCTGTTTGATCCTGTTTGATCCTGTCAGCTGGTTGAGAACAACTCCTGAGTCTGTGGCCATGTGTGTGGCCATGTGGCCGTGTGGCCATGTGGCCATGTGGCCATGTCTGTGGCCTGTGCAATGTTTCTATGTCTACGATGTCTACATTGCTGTGAATCGCTCAAAACCTTCTCTGTGATTTTGATTCGAAAGTATAGTATTCCCAGTACCCCGTGTTTGGCCTTGTCTTCCCTGCTGCGATGCAAGCAGATTTCTCCTTTGATCCAAGATTGTATCTGCATCTCTGTATTCTGCCAGGTCAACCATGATCTGATAGAGTACAAGCCGTTTCGGAAAAACTTGTACGTTCAGGTGCTGGAAGACTTTGACCTACCAGACCAGGATCTTGATAGCTAATCTTCAGCCCTGTCAGGTGAAGGAGATTACCAACATGAAAGACCACGAAGTGACTTGACTTTGGTAAAGATTTGTAATGGAATACTTTCAACATGCTTGTTCTAGCGACACTAGGTCGAGGATCTCCGGCGGACCCACGGCGACATCACTGTTAGGGGCAAGTGTTCGCCTTAGACTCCTGTCAAAGTCAATCTGTCACGCAAATTGTAGTCCTATACGGCAAGATATGCAAGTAGAACCTGTTGCCTAAGCTGTTGTATGAATTCGCACTGAAACACGCCTGGGCTGACTGGTTAGGCGATGCCCTCATCCCGTGAAGAGTTTTCTCCAGCAAGATACCTCAGAAGTGTTTTGGTACTCATAGCTGGAAGCCTTGAAAAGATGGACAGCCCTGGTAGCAAAAACAGATGGGAGACCCTGCAGCGAAGCAAAAAAATCTAGGGCGCACTGGCGCAGCATTCTCAGACTCTTCCCTGTTGACCTGAGAATCGTGTCAACTCACATCTTCAGGGAGTCACCTTCAGGGTTTGCGTTTGTCCCTTGCGTGGTGGCCATGATGAGACTTTTTTTTTGGGATATCGACAAGTGATAGAGTTTGATTTGTTTTACAGCGGGCAATGTTGCAGAGGCTTCGAGAGATGGGAAGAAAAGCAAATTGACTTTGCAAGGACATCGGCTTTATTTTCAGATATTTTCACGAAAATTTGAAAGATGTAGGGATAGGCAGGGAGTGCTGGGTCTGCTTGCACGACAAGAAACTGAAGAGACGACTACTTACAACTACTCTAGCATTTCTACAAGACAGTTTGATGAGGACGTCTTGAAGTTGCCATGATACCAGAAGAGATTTTTGAGGTTTAGGGGAAACTTTAGGAGCGCGTACGGCGACATAGTTGCAGAGCGATAGAGAATTACTGCAGTTGCTGTTGCTGCATGTCTAGATATTTGACCTTCAGACTGCTTGGCTTCTAGATACGAGATCCAACCTGCCATGCTGCAAACTTTTTCAATACTTCAGAGTTCAGGAAATTCAAGAGATCTCTGGGGTTGAGTCAGAATGGTTTTAGAGTGTGAAGATCAAGTAACAATACATTTAAAGCATGCATTCTGCCTGAAACCTCTTTCAGGGTTTCTAGCCTCGAATTTGAGCTCGTTTAGAGTGTCTACCTGTCTACTAGATAAAACATCCTAGCTTATTGAATCATTCTGTTTAGACAGTTTAGACATACTCGTCTCTTTGTAACTGGCAGATTCTTAGTTCAGTATAGTAGTGGGTGATCAAATTCTATCTGATCCCACCCTAGGTGTGGCTTGCCTGAGAAGATTCTGAAGATCTTGGAAAAGCGCGACTACGAGACACCATTTCCCATTCAGATGCAGGCCTGCATAAACCAGAGGCACTAGAATCTCAATCTCCATCTCTCTCTCTCCGTCTCTCTCTCTCCGTATATATTATTGCAATATACTGTTGTGTGCCCAAAAGTGCTTTTGATTTTCTAGAGACCCTGGGTGGTTTGATTTTCTGGTGCTTTAAGATATTGGTGCTTGATCATTACCCTGGGTACATCAATTTTCTAGTGGGGTATACTTTTGCATTCTGGCTTGGCACCTTCAATTTTCTAGAAAATTCAACTAGATTTTAGGGGGCGTTCAGTGACCTGTTTTCAAGTATTCTTGGGCCAAAAACGGTTGAAAAAGGGCACAAAAGAGGTGCCTTTTCATGGCTTTTCTATCTGTTGTTATTTTCCAATCAATGTTGATCCTTGTTGATCCTTGTTGGATGGTTTATAGGGAATATGTGGGAACAAAATAACAAGGTTACAAGTAGTTCCCGGGCAAGCCGGGGGCGGAAGTTTCAAAATTGAAACGCCGCTCTGTGTAAAATCTTCTCTGTGTAAAAGCTTCCCTGTGTAAAAGCTTGCTTTAGCTTGCTGTGTGTAAAGCTTGCTTTGTGTAAAAGCTTCTCTGTGTAAAAGCTTGCTCTGTGAAAAAGCTTGCTCTGTGTAAAAGCTTCTCTGCGTAAAAGCTTCTCTGTGTGAAAGCTTCCTGTGTGTAAAAGCTTCTCTGTGCAAAAGCTTGCTGTGTGTAAAAGCTTGCTCTGTGTAAAAGCTTCTGTGTGTAAGAGCTCCTCTGTGTAAGAGCTTGCTGTGTGTAAATGCTTCTCCGTGTAAAAGCTTGCCCTGCGTGTAAGCATCTCTGTGACTGGAGGTGAGAAGAGTTGAGAAGAGTTGAAGGTGAGAAGAGTTGAGCTGAGCTGAGAAAGAGGTGGGATGAGTTGAGCGGAGGTGAGAAGAGGTGGGAAGAGTTGAAGAGGTGGCAAAAGGTGAGAAGAGTCGAGACGAGTTGAGAAGAGTTGAGAAGAGTTAAGACGAGGTGGGCAGAGGTGAGAGTCGTTGAGAAGAGTTGAGAAGAGCAGGGAAGAGATGAAAGAGTTGAGCTCAGGTGGGAAGAGATGAAACAACTTTGAGAGCCGTTGAAAAGAGTTTCGAAAATTGAGAAGAGCTGAGATGGCCTGAGAAGAGTTGAGAAGTCGTGGTCACAATTGAAAAGGGTTGAGGCAAAGTGACGACGAATTCACAGAACAGAGTTGAGAAGCTGTGAGGGTCCGCTGCATCTCCTATAGGCAAACCTGGTCTTTGGATCCTATAGCAGTACACTTCTTAAACCTGGAAACTTCCGCCACCCGCCTTGCGCGGGTTCTACTTGTATTGTATTATATTCTCAATACCTCTCAATTATACTCAATTATTTTTGGAGTCATAGTAAATTAAATTATGTATGCATTGAAATATGGAATATTGTTGTGTCGTAGTGCCAGAGTGCCGGTGGATTGGGTTTTGAGGCATCTTCTTTGCCACGATTGTGGCAATAAGTTGTCAGACCATGTGACAGGTCCTCACATACTTAGACACGAACTGACACGCACATGGATGTCAGGCCATGCCTGCGTTGATGTGTGGAAGAGATGTTATAGGCGCGGCAGCGTCGGGCATTTTGATGCTTCCACTGTTCAGTTGTTAGTGCAAAAACCTGAAGTTTTGTTTGAGCAACTCGACCAATGGATAGTTAGTATATGTTAGTATTTTGGATTTAGTCCTAGGCTAACAGTTAACAATTTGCATGATATTATGTAAAGATCCACCTTCTCTACGAGGAGGCCGGGCTGCTAGTGTACTACAACCTTTAAGTACCACCCAAATGCAGCAAACTCGAACAGCATCAGGCTACAAACATTGGCAAGATTGCAAGATTGCTCGCAAGATACGCCGTGAAGACTGCATAAGAATATATATGCATGAGAGGAACTTTCACATGAAACAACTGTGCCACTTTCAAACAGCGAGGTGGAGATCGAAAGCAAATCCAAGTGAATCATCGACCTTCATCAGACTTCTGGCACTTGATTCTTGAGTAGAGTGATTCAACTCTTGATTTTCTTGACTTCTAGTTATTCAGCATTGAGAGCAGGTGTAGCATTTTTTTCCACTTCATGCTGTGCCTTTGTCAGAATTTCACTTCAATATGTTTTCAGAGCATCTTCGCCCTTCTGCACACTAATTTGCCAGAGATTGACGAAACTTGCTGGGACTTGAAAAATGCCGCAGTGAATTTATCAACCCCACTGCCTTTTGGTGGCTCTTGCAGGTGTTGCGCAGACTGGCTCTGGAAAGACCGTAGCATACTTGTTGCCGCTCATCAGGTGCTTTCATAGACCACACTGGTGACGAGACTCCAAGACCTTTCTTTGCCGATTCATCAATTTCATCTGTGCCTGATGTGGAGGCACATCATGGACCAACCTCCTCTTGGCAACGGCGATGGTCCCATTGGCTTTGTCGTTCTGCCCTAAGTTGAGAGTCAAAGTAGTGCCAAACCAGTCTTCTCCATCCAGAATGTGGATGAGGATTCCTACCCGGTCCTACCCGGTCCTACCCGGTCCTACCCGACTATCTATCTATCTATCTACCTATCTATCTGTCTATCTATCTCTCTGTCTGTCTATCTATCTATCTATCTATCTCTCTATCTCTCTGTCTATCTATCTATCTATCTATCTATCTATCTCTATCTCTATCTCTCTATCTCTCTATCTATCTAGCTACCTACCTATTTATCTATCTATCTACCTATCTACCTATCTATTTATCATTCTATCTATCTATCTATCTATCTATCTTTCTCTCTATCTCTCTATCTCTCTATCTACCTATCTATTTATCATTCTATCTATCTACCTGTCTGTCTGTCTGTCTATCTATCTCTCTATCTATCTATCTACCTATCTATCTACCTATCCATTTATCTATCTATCTATCTACCTATCTATCTATCTATCTAACTAATCGAATCTAAGTCTAATCTAATCTAATCTAGTCTAATCTAATCTAATCTATATAACCTAATCTAATCTAATCTAATCTAATCTAATCTAATCTATCTATCTACCGACCTACCAATCTACCCATCTACCCATCTACCTATATACCTGTGTACCCATCTACCCATCTACCCATCTACTTATCTATCTATCTATCTAATCTAACCTAACCTAGTCTCATCTTATCTTATCTTATGTTTTCTTATGTTATCTTATGTTATCTTCTCTATCTATCTACCTATCTACCTGTCTACCCATCTACCTATCTGTCTGTCTATCTATCTATCTAACTAACTTTCTATCTATCTATCTATCTATCTTTCTATCTATCTTTCTTTCTATCTATCTCTCTCTATCTCTCTCTATCTCTCTCTCTATCTATTTATCATTCTATCTATCTATCTATCTATCTATCCAGCTATTTATCTATCTATCTATCTATCTTTCTGCCTATCTACCGACCTACCTATCTACCCATCTACCTATCTACCTATCTACCTGTCTACCCATCTATCTATATATCTATCTATATATCTAACTATCTATCTATTTATCTATCTATCCATCCTTCCATCCTTCCATCCATCCATCCATCTATGTGTCTATCTACATGCATTCATCAATTCTATTGTGACAGCTGAAGTGACTTGCTGTCTAGCGATGATGGCGCGGCAAGCAGGTTGCACCTACAAGGGAGCTGGCGCTGCAGATTCAGCGTGAAGCCAACACGTTCTGCAAGGCTAGTTTTTGGAATATGCCTCGCTGCAAATTGCTCATTTGACCCACTTTTGAAAGTTGTGAGCCTTTAGAGAGAGAGAGAGAGCGAGAGAGAGAGAGAGAGAGAGATAGAGAGATTGAATCGTGCTGTTGAGGCAGTGAACTTGACGAGTGTTTGTGCATACGGTGGTGGGCCAATGGGGGAGCAGCTGTCTGCGCTGAAGAAAGGACCAAAGATTCGACAAATTTTTCACTGGCAGACTCATTCTGCACATTTTGCACGAATTCACAGTTGGCATTTTTGGCACGTTTTTTTTCTTTTGGCATGGCTTGTCTAGGAAAAACCAGTTACATCGACCGAGTCAGAAACTACTTGCGAGTCAGAAAATACAAGTCAAAAACTGGATGAGGCGAGTCAGAAACTACACAGACCCGAGTCATCCAGAGTCAAAACTGGGAGTTAGACAAATAGACAGAAAACAAACAAAACCAAATTCAGAGACAGATGGACAGCCAACTATGAGACTCGAATATTTTTTCATCAATTTTGAGCGGCAAGTCCACTCCAAGACACTTAGTATAGTACAGGTAGTAGATATGTGATATGTGAATAGTCAATCTTTTTGGTCGTGTCGTGCAACTGATTGCATCGGCTTGTTGACTGCTCTTCCTGTTTTTTGAGTCTTGCCTTCCTAGTTGCCGATTCAAACCCTTCATGATTTCTGACTCAAATTTTCCACTTTCTGGGCCTCCAGTTTCTGACTCACAGTTTCTGACTCATGCCTTGCCAGTTTCCAACTCGTACTTTCCCACTTTCCCACTCAGCCCCTTGCCAAACAAACAGCTTCATGTTTTCAGGTGCCAAGGTGCGTTGTAGCTGCTGTTTCCGAGTATCATGGTACCATCCGATTTTGCTGTTCATCGCCTTTTGCCTCAGTGCTCCTCAGTGTCCTAATCTGTTGCCTCAAGAACCACATGACAGTTTCTGGAACCTTTTCTTGCAGGTCTATTCGCTTCGCCGGGTCACTGTTCTGATAACGTTGCATTTTGTGCATTTTGGGCATGATGTGTTTCTCTGAATTGACACCAGGTATGTTTGAAACCCTGTTTGCAAATACAGATGCATCCCGAACACAAATGTGCAGCATCATTGTAGGTGAGTCATGATCAATGTTTCCTTATCCTTTAAGCGCACCGAAAAGGGCGCTATTTTGCCATCAAGCTTTGTCGGTGCGACATGCTTTGGCACCTTGAACTATTTGTCCCATTCAGTGCACAAGACTCTTACAACATTTTCGACAGTCTTGTGCAGGTGCAGGGCATGCCCTGTTTCATCCCACCCCTAGCCCGAAAAAGCTTCAAATAAGACATGATATTATTTGTAGCAACGAACTTGAGCAGGAGGATAAGCGGTCAGTGCTTTCGACCGAAAGGGCGAACAGTATAATTATATAATTATATATATATATATATACATAGACCACTAGATGTGCCGAACTTGGTAGAATCTTCAAAAATCGGAAAAGCGCTGCACCCACTGCCTAAGTTTGAGCTGGGCTGTCCGCAGAGTCATTCAGACACTCTGAAACCCAAGCGACCTTGGTTTCACCATGGTTTAGCTTTTCCTCACTTTTCCTCGCAAAGACTTCTCCTTCTTCAGCTTTCCTGTTCACCAATCAGCCAAGACATGCATTTGGACTTGAATGGATCATTCGATAGTCCAACATGGTGCGGTACAGTGTAACAAAATTTTGCAGCTGCTACGCAACTACCAACAATCTTTGGCAACAATCGAGCAAGCCCAAACGACTAAGTATGCTTTCAAGTGACATTTACTGCATGTCCTTACAAACAGCGAGATGCTTTGAGAAATTGCTACAAGCAGACACACCATTCTTCTTTGTAGGCAATTACAACATATTACAACAGGAATAATTGAAACTGGAACAAGCTGGAAATTCGATCTTTCATATTCCACACTTGTTTCTGACACCATCACAACATGTCATTTGTTTCTTACTTCTTTTGCAAGTTTGACAAGCGTGAAGGTGTGAGAGTTTGCGTCAAAGCGCTTTGCAGGAGCTGAACTTTTGGTCGGAACTCCTGGACGTCTTATTGATGTCGCAAGCCCAGAGAGCTCAGCATATCGCTTAGTTTCAAAGCTTGCACGATAGGGGGTGGTAGAGCCAGCAGTTTCAAAGGCCTGTCAAATCAGTGTCACTATGGGATAGACGTCATACGATCCTGATATCATGTTTCATGCTGCAATTCTGAAGGTGTTTGCGAAGTCGGCGTAGTGTGAAGCTGGCACCAGTATACCGGAATAGATTACGTGGCCCAGATTTCCATCCAGGCTCAGCAGGCTTAGCAGGTGGTAAGCTGTTCACAAAGGCAGGACTAAGGTCATCACTTTTCGTTCTTGCTGCCCCTTTTCTTGCATTTTGAGGTGTACCAAAGCCCCAAACGATTTGCACGTGCAGATTTCGTCACAGCGTCAATCATTGCAAACCCACTCCATGATTGGCAAAAAACATCAAACAAAGTCAGCTAGTGCCGACAAATCCCCTTTCCACGTTTGGCAACGGCCGGGAAGTTTCTGGTCTTCCAGTCTTCCATGTTCTCACTACCTTTCTCTTTCCAGAAGAGCACCTGCTTTTCCGTTCGAGTCAAGCTGCAGCTGGTGGACGCGAGCCATGATGGAAGCAAACAAGAAAACCCTCCAGAATATTGGACAGAATGTGGGAGTGGTATACCTGTCCAAATTCTGCCCTCGCTTGCCTTGATGCTGCGGGCTTGTCGGGCTTTCCTACAAACAACTTGGACATGAGATAGAATTTCATAGGGGAATTCTCCATGAAGCAAGCGAAAATACCCTTCATCTAGACTCTAGACTGTATCTTGAACCAAACAAAATCAAAGTGCCCACCTTTGTGATGTTGGTCTGCGCACTACAAACTGCAGAAATTTGAGTCAGGATATATCAAGATTCAAAATTTAACGCCTTTCCTGGAGCCCGCACAGGTGCTTACCTGCTCGGCGGGAAAGATCACCAACTTGCGTCGTGTCACTTTCCTCGTGCTTGATGAGGCCGATCTTCCTTTGCTCAGATTGACTTGCAGCACTCTTGCAGCCTTGTTCATTTTCCTTTCACTTTTTGTTCACTCCTTGTTCACTTCTTTGATTCATTTATATTCATTTCTTTAATTCTTCATTCATTTAGTTTATTTCTTCATTTGTTTCCGTTTGTCTCTATTCAGTTCCTTGATCCGGACCATGCGCCTGACAGCACCTGGCAAATCTGAGGCCGACAGGATGTTTGACATGGGCTTCGAGCCACAAATTGGAATGTTCCTTCAAAGCACCAGACCGGACAAGCAGGCCATGCTTAGCCATGCTTGCGCAGCTTGCTGGATTCCTCTTAGAACTATGAGTAGCACTGACGCACTGAACTCAATTAGTGTTGCCATATGTTTCCATCCTTGCTTTCAAAACTTTCAACCGCGCCTTTTTCAATCATTTCAATCATTTCAATCCTCGCTTTGACAGGTTGCAATGTTCAGTGCGACTTTGCCAGCGCATGTTGAAGCACTGGCCCGCAAGGCCAGAGCACGGATTTGTGAAGAAAGTGCTGAGCAACCAAGGCCTTTGTGGCGTTTCTGAAGTTTGCGGGAGTATTTTGCGAACAACTTTCAGGGAAACCAGTCAAACCAGCTTTGCGCAGGTTCTGAAGAAACCTGTAGAGATTTCTGTCCGGACCTCATGGAGAAGACTTCATCTTTTTGGTCGCTTAATCATGTCTCCATGTATTCCTATGTTCTTGGTATTCACGGGTGCATTTTGCCCTGCCCAATAGAGACTCTTGAACGGTTCAACCATTTTCACATGAACAAACAGCTGCTCAGTGCAGGTGGTTATTACTTTTTAGTTTGCTGGCATCGATCTTTTCAAAGATTTGACGGTTCTCCGGACATTTCCATTCTGAAGTAGTCAATTGTTCTCGAGCCTTTAACATTATTTTGAACTTCAGAGGTTGGTGAACGAAATGCTGCAGCATCGAACGTGACTCAATTTGTGGAGGACGGAATGCTGACACAAATCACCCGACAATCGAACATATTACATGATTGACAAATTGATGCAAAGTGATGCAAAGATATGCAAAGTGTATACACATTCGTGGCAGGTTCTTGATGAAAGCCAGAAGTTTTATCGGTTGTTGCAGCTGCTCGGAGAGTGGCACGAACACGGTGCCGACCTGTGCGGACTGGGCAAGCCGGCAAGCCGGCAAGCCGGCAAGCCGGCAAGCCCTTGCATGTGGGGCAAATCAAAATGACACAAAATGACACAAAATGACATAACATGACACATTGTTTCAATTGTTTCAATTGTTTCAATTGTTTCAATTGTTTCAATTGTTTCAATTGTTTCTGTTCCCCTCGTGAGCCCCTAAGCTTTGAGCAATGCCACCACGATGATCCACGAGGTGCCATCATGATATTTGTACACCAGCAGAAGGACTGAGAACCCTGTGAGCAACCACAAGACTTCTAGAGCTGGACTGATCTACTCAGACTGACGTTTCTTCAAATCACACAAGTCTATGCAATCGCAAGCGATGCCGGCCCCTTTGGAGCCCCGGAATCAATATGCATAAACAAATAAATAAATAAATATATATATATATAAATATAAATAAATATGTTATTCAAAGTTCACGAATAGATGAGGTTTTCGAGTGTTTGTTGCAGAACACCGACACAGTGCGCGTGGAGATGGGCTGCAAGTTGTGGCATTTCAGTCGCATTTCTTTCAGGACGTGGATGAGATGTTCACCGAGCTTCTGAAGTACGGATATCCTCCACTGGCACTCCATGGTGGCCAGGACCACCTTCAGCGGGCAAAGATGGTTCGTCGGCCGCAGAATGTATCAAAAAGAGCCTACGCTTAATTAAACCAGGGGCAGAAAAGAGCCAGTTCTCAACAAGCTTCCTTGACTTGAGAGATTGCCCACGCAACTCCAGAAACGAAACTCATCGCACCTCTAATGACTCTAATGATTTTGATTTCATGAAATGGCCTACATTGTCCTACTATCCTTTCTCGAAACCGTTCTTGTTGGGTCAATATGTCACCTTGCTGGCAGGATCAACAGGATCGGGACTTCACCTTGCAGGACTTCAAGGATGGCATCTCCAATATCTTGATTTCAACCTCCGTTGCAGCCCGAGGCTCGACATGGCTCGACATGGCTCGACATGGCTCGACATGGCTCGACATGGCTCGACATGGCTCGACATGGCTCGACATGGCTCGACATGGCTCGACATGCAAATACACCGAATACACTTCAGGGTCTCGTCCGTAGCGTTCTGCCGGAGGTATTGATGTCAAGAATGTAATCCTTGTGGTGAACTTTAAGGCAGGGTCGTAGTTGATGGTAGATTTGGAACTGGTCAAGAGTATTTTGTTCGGAGGCTGGACAATAGCGGGTTTTTGGCTGTGATGCGTTCTGGTTGGTTGCCATTCCGCAAGTATTCCATGGAAAAGCCACCAAGCAAACCATGCCATATATGTCATATAAGGAGCTTCAGAAAAAACACAACAGTGCAGACAAGTGCTGCATATTCATGCCTATACAATACTCATGATAATTATAGTATAATAATGAATGATAAAGGTAAAAGTAATAATATATATATACACACCAATTCTACTTTCTGCCACATTCCTTTCTCTTGGTGGAGCAGCTGCCAATTTCTAGTACTGCAGCGACCGCAGTAGCAATTAAGGAAGAAAAGCAGTTGTTGAGGCGTTTTTAGCCTGGAAAATGGATGCGTCTTACGCGAACAGTGAACAGGGTTTGCCAATCTGCTGAACCAGTTCAACCATTTCGGATGCTATTGCTTGGACGACACTGTATATACAATATATATATATGTACATTTATCCATTTATACATACACAGTATACACATTGTATGTATGTATGCATGCATGTATGGATGGATGGATGCATGTATGGATGTATGGATGTATGGACGTATGGATGTACGTATATGTATATATATATATATATAGATGTTCCTCAGTTCCTCAGTGGACAAAAAGATGTTGCTGCTCATAAACTCCAGTTATTTTTCACCCCGGAAGACCAGTCTCCTCGCTCTTTAGTCATTTTGCCTGCTTAGACTCCTGAAATTGTTGCCTTCTCTTGATTTTTGCCAACAACTACTTATTGCAGCATGCTCAGCATGTATCTACCATGTTAGAACAACAATTATCCAAAGTGCCAAGGTCCTAGCCATAGTGCACTACTTGCTTTCCAACCTGACCTTTGTTCCTCTCCTCTGACTCCAAATCTCACAAAGTCGGAGATATGAACCAGAGATTTTCTCGTGCCAGCTCGTGGCATTCCAGAGCACACCTCGTTCTGACGCACAACTTAAGCATTTAACCGAACTCAACCGAACTTAACCTGATTCTTCAACTTTCTTCATTTTGCTTTATATTGCTTCACTTTCCACTTGCTCTTCTTGGTCATGCTGGTTGTGTTGCCCGGTTGTTGTACTTTGTGGTGTAATGTTGTGTAAATGGTACCCTGGCCATCCCTGGCCTTGTTGTAAGGGATTGTAACGTACCTGGTTGAGGTGCCAGACCACCTCGAAGACTACATCCATCGAGTTGGTCGCACAGGAAGAGCGGGCAAGCATAGATCTCAGGGCAGAGCTTGTTCGAGAAGCGAAACAGCAAAACAAACAACCATCAAACAACAAACACAGAGATCTATAGAAGAGGTATACACTGTATTTTTTTTTTAAAAAAATAGTTTATTTTATTCTTGTTTTCTCGTTTTTTTAACCCTGGGTTTCTCTGCTGTTTTGTGAAACGTTGCATGAGAGTTGAAACACACCCCTGACCGCAGCACACTGACCAAATTCAAGCTCTGGATTGTCCTTCTTTGCTTAGGGCAGGCTTCGCCTACACCTTCATCCAACCTGATGAAGCGGACAAAGCACAGGATAGAGCTTTCCACTCCACAGAGGTTTTGAGCTCCAAAATCTTTCCTCCCCTTCCCAGCTGTGGCTTTGAGAAGCTTTGAGTGGCTTAGAGTCACAGCTCAGCTTTTGTGAATGTCCTAGGGGGCTAACGCTTTATTTTGGTTGAAACCAAATGTGGTATAAGGCAATTGCCCAGTTCAGCTGCCAAGTAGAGCTGCAACATACTGCAACATCTCAACGCTTTCAGATTTTTTTGCTTCCTGACAGAGACTGGAATGATTCAATAGAGGCCTCGAGGTTTAAAAACTCGGAACATCCATCTTATGTCCATGTACGGAAGAACCATGCAAGTTTGGCTGAACAAACCCTACGTATTATTGTAGTACTGATGTGGTAAAATAATTGGTGTGGCCTGCTACTGGTGTGGTATTCTTTTCAGTGATAAACAACTCACAGATGTGCAAGTGGCTGCAAAAGGACATGGTGGATGCTCTGCGACAATGCAATCAAGAGGTTCCTGCAAAGCTCAAATCTCTGGCAGAGGACAGCTGGAAGATGGGGGAGAGCAAATTAATAGGTGCAGAGGTATGCAGAGGTGAGATAATCAAACAGACGAAGAACTTTGGGTTTTGGTGCTGCAAATGCAGTCACAGAATGTCACAGATGCTGTTTAAAGTCCTTTCAATGTGCAGCCTTTTGTGTCCTTTCAAAGTCCTTCAGCGAAGGAGCACCAGACTGCTGTGAACACAGGTCAAGTCTTGGACCAAGTTGCCAGCTTTTTTCAACGTCACATCAAGATCCAAGAGCAGGTTTGAAAAATGGTTGAAATATGTTGAAATGTATTTTGGATTCAGCCACTGCGAGTTTCTAGAAACACAGGTCACCAGGAAGGATCCATGGGGCATTTTCTTGCAGTTGGTGACCCTCCTGAATCGAATACCGCCTGCGTTCTGCAGTAGTCGTAGAGGCCATGCGGGGTCCGACATTTTGAAGCATTTGAGCGGGGACAGAAGCTAGGAAGCTCTGGGGTGAAAGTGAGACTCAGTCTTATTGAATTCTGCTGCATAGACAACCATTGAGGCTCGGAAGCGAAAGCGCTGGGGAGGATTTGGCCGAGCACCTACACAACTTCTCCTAATTGTTTGAAGAGCTTATGTCAGTCAATCCTGAGTCAATGAGTCAATGCTACTTACTAAGGCGGAAAGAGCTTTTCCTATGAGAACAGCGAAAAAAGCAGGAGGGCTGAGACTCTGTGAGATTGGCGGTTGCTACGAGTTTGTGTTGCATGCTTTGCAATTCTGCAACTGGACAGGCAGCAGCAAGAGCGTCAACAAGCCAAGAGCGACCTTCTTATTGGGGACTTTGAGGAGAGCTGAATCTGCGATGTCATTTCAATGCAACTGTTTTAAACATGTTTAAATTGTCCTGCTCATTCCTGCTCTTTGTTTCCGTGTTTGCGATTTCCTGGATGTGCCACACTTGTACCACTTGTACCCTGTACACACAGGAAGAAGACGACTTCAAAGATCCTTGGTTGGAACCTGACAAGCCCAAGGGCAAAGGTAAGGGCAGAGGCAAGGATAAAGCAGCAGAGTCGGCGTCAGCGTCAGCGCCCCAGAGCTTTGATGTGAAAGGCGACTGAGTTTGCTGAGTTGTGAAGAGTTTGTTGGGTCTTGCGAGGTCAAAATCTGAACCCGTGGACACTGTAGCGGCTGCTGCTCAAGTTGCTGCAAAGATGCAGGCTGGGAACTTGCCCGAAGGGAAAAGATGTGACATGTGTTTCCAGCTTTTTACGTACATCACAACTGCAATTGAAATGTCGATACTTTGCCATCCACCCTTTAGTTTGTTTTCATAAGCACAAGAATATCATTTGCGGCCATACCTTCTACTGCAGACATATTGCTGCAACCAGTGATAAACTGGAAGCAAGGAGGCTTTAGAATTGGAGAACTGATTGGCAGGATGCTGCTTCAGATGTCACGTGCAAGAGATCGCTGTAGCTGAAAAATTGAAAGAGACATATGAACTCAAAAATCAAACCAACATCAACAAACGGCCACATCAATCATCAAAGTTTTGTTCTGCGGTCAGATCATCAGAGGGTCTTGTGAGACATTCAAAACAGAAAGAGTAACTATTACAGCATGAAATGTAACATGATGGTACGCGTATTGCAACTAAACGCCTTCAGCAAATGGATGCAAAACACAGCACGGTTTTGGAAAGAAACTCTTGCCCGCTGCAACCTGTTGCAACCTTTGCACAATGATTCTTCGCCCGGTGCATCCTGCGAGTCTGTCTCGAATCTTTGAAGAGAGCAAGGTTCAGGAGAGGCTGTCGACCAGGTGGCAAGGCCCCATTGAAGGATGGCGCAGCGGGCGCCCCACGTCTTTCAGTGTGATTTTCATTGCTGCGACAGCCGTGGCGGGACGGAACAGACGAGCAAGCAGAGCAGCAGCACAGAATGAAGGCCGCCTTGCAGGACCAGCCAACTTGATTCCAGAAGAGTTCTTTGGTGATGGGCAAGAACTTCAGCTAAGTTCATATCGAATGCAGTTGCTTCAAAGTGAAGCTTTGCGAAAACAGGTGCGCAGAGACCTGGGTGATGAGTTAGAGGATGAGGTCTGGGAAAGCTTGAAGGTCAATCTAAGAGCAGACGTCATGGATGCCTTGAAGGATGAACTTGAAGATGAAGTCCGCCAAACCCTGACAAAGGAACTTGGTGATGAAATGGACATGGACGACATGGACGACATGGACGAAATGGATGAGGTGGATGATTCGGAAGAGGATGTAAAGAATGTAAAGGAAGCGGAGGAGGTTGATGACGATTTTGATGAGGCTGAGGCTGATAGACTGTTAGATGAACTGGCAGCAAAGGATGTTGAGGAGGTAATGTTGAAGTTCCCAACTTTGTCAGATGAGCTGAAAAAGCAAGTAAAGGAAAAGTTTTGTGAAGAAATGAGAAAGGAAATGAAAGTCGAGGTCGTCTTGGAGCTTAAGGAAGACCTACGAGATCAAGCTGAGGAAGTCCTTATGGAGGAGCTTGAAGCTGAAGCTCGCTTTGAACTTCGAGAAGAGCTGGAGGAAGAAGTGAGGAATGATTTGCTCTGGGATGGTTGAGATTTGGTTGAGATATGGTTGAGTACTCTTGAGTGTTTCTCGAGTCACGCCATACGCAAGGGTTGCTTGACTTTGTAAAGAGTTCAACTGCTGTAGCCTCCAGAAAAACCCGTCGAAAACTAGAGTGCTTTGTCCGCTGAGACGGCAGCTATCAGCAGCTTAATATCCGGAATAGGAACCACAGGTTGTCGGCTGTCGCATTCATTGCCGCAGCATACCTTGAGCTGCCTCTCCAAGCATAAAGCGCCGCCAAGCTGCCTAGCTGTGTGAGGTGTCGAAAATTGTACTTTAAACTGTTTTTCAACTATTCCTTTCAGTATCAAAGACAGGTGACAATACGTAAGTGTAGTATATCATAGCATATCATATCGCTATAGAGATCCTGCACGGGTGTTATGTGTCATGGTATTGATACGTGACCTAACACAGTGGAAGCAGATCACCGCTGGCAGAAAAGTCTCTGAAGCTCTATGCTGCTTCCTTGACCTGGTTGAGTAAGTGCACAGGGCAACGTTCTCTGTATCGAACGACAAGTGCTAGCTTGCCTAGCGGCTTTCCCAGTTTGATAGGGACTGACAGGGACTGACAGGGACCGATAAGGACTGATAGGGACTTATTGCAAGGTAAAATGCGAAGCTCACTATGAAGTCACAGGAGATTTCTTTGTACGATTCTCTTGGCAAACAGGCGGCAAATGGCAATGTGGAAGTTGAGGACTCAGGTAAACTGCCTATCCTGAGTGATGCGGCATCAAGAGCTTTGCCACAGTTTGCAATTTCATCAGGCTTCTCGGACCTTTTGCTGAGGCACCCACTAATGGAAGTGCAGGTGGCTTTCTGTCCGCGTATGCATAGTCATCAGAGCAAAATCTCGGCCTTCCCCAGCTGCAAATCCACACTTTCATTGCCACTCACTATCACAGCCGATGATGAAGCAGCATTGTCAAGCTGATATATTTCGGTCCCAATGTCTTACCTACCGCTGGCGTAGCAGTTAATTGTGCACGGATGAAGGAAGTACCATCAATTCGGGTGACAGCGGAAACAGAACATGTGATACCAAAGCACTATGAGCCTGGCTTGGATCAGGTGGATCATCTGGAAAAAAGCTGTCATACTGTCACACCGTATTTGCCATGTCATACCGTTCCATCGAGTGAATCAACTTCTATAGGCATACAGCATGCACTGACATTCACGTTGCATTGCATGTCTCGTGGTGTCTGTGTAGGCGCCCCTGTTCAGCCTCCAGCACCTCCTAAAGCCAAGGCCACGGGTTGGAGGTAGATAGGATGCTGAGGAGTAGCTGAGAAGTGGCTGAGGATGCCTGATTCTGTCTCCACCCTTTAACTTATGATTCGATGTCCACAATATTTTCCAGAGAACTCTGATGGGATCTGATTGGTCTCTTTCATTCATTTCATTTTGATTATTCACGAAAGCTAGCCCCTGCTAGCTGAAGTCCCTTCAGCTTTAGCAAGGTATTGGCAGGGGCTGGAGTCGCCAATCGCACCAAGCTTCGCAGTTAACTACCCACCCTCCACCCCGGCTGGCTTTGTCACCTTGACAAGCAGTTTTGCGTAGCTCGACCCCCCCCGGGGACATCTTTTCATATTGTCGCCGTCAGCATCATCAGCATCATCAGACTTACTCTCACACCCCTGTTTCACAACACCTTCCTCACACAATTGTACAATCTACTTTGTATCTCCCAATTTCTCACACTCCGCTCTTTCACCACACCTTCCTCCTTCTCCCTTTACCCTCCCAGCTAGCTTTCGTTCCTTACCCTGGGCCTCAAGTTTGTGTAGTGTAGTGCTGGTCATATGCCCTTTCTGACTGCAACAGCGCATGGGGCTTTCGCAAATTTGTTTGAAAGACAAACTGGGGAGACTGGGGAGACCATCAAAGCAGAAATTGTGGATGTATCTTTGATGCTGTTGATACGTGGAAAGTTAGAGGAAAGACGGTTTTGCTGCTGGTGGGTGCTAATGTGTGCTGCTATGGGTAGTAGGGGCTAGGCGGCTACCCAAGTGATGGCTGCTCATGCGACATGCTTGTGCTTTTGGGGCTGTCTTGCCCTGTGGAAAGGGTGGAGTGGACTGCATCCTGTTGCAACCCATGTCCATGAGGACAACGCGTGCTTGACCTGGAGCCAATGTGGCAATTTTTGACTTTGGAAGAATGAGTCGTTTGATTGATGTTGTTTGCACAACTTCCATTTGTTCTCACTGGGCTTGGCTTTGTTGTACCACTGTTCGGTGACATGTCGACTGCGAGCAGCAGGCTCCAATGTCAAGAAAGACTGACAAGGAGCTTGAGGAGCCATGCTACCGCTATGCTGCAAGATACTCGCAACATGCTGCAGCGGATGCCATGGCTCTTGGCTGACCCGACTTTGAGTTTCCCAACCGCCCCTGTATTGCGTTCAGGAACAAGCTCGTCAGATGGCAGAAGATACCTTGAAGAGCTTGCCGGAGGAGGCAGTTGCTGTTTAAGCCCTCCGCCCATCAGTGATGCGCTTTGTAGTTTCCAGGTTTAGTTGTGTTGCTTTGGAGAGACAGTTGCTCTATGCCATGCCACAATTGTGATGCTGATGCTGCACCTCCAAATGGTTTTCGGTTCAGCACCTGAACCATTTTGTCATTTTGACCATTTTGATCAGCTTCGAACTTTATATCTAGATTTCGACAGATGGAGAGGGAGAGATAGAGAGGGAGAGATAGAAATGGAAACAGAAAAAACAGGAGATACAGAAACGGAACAAGGTTCAAGTCCAAGAGACAGGGGGTTGCTTTCCTCGCAAACATGACAGCGTTTGCCAAAGAGATAGGTGATAGATAGATAGATTAGAATTAGATTAGATTAGATTAGATCATTAGATTCGAGATAGAGATAGATAGATAGATAGATAGATAGATAGATAGATAGATAGATATAGATAGATATAGATAGATATAGATAGATATAGATAGATATAGATAGATATAGATAGAGAAATATGGAGAGATATGGAGAGATATAGAGAGATAGAGATAGATAGAGATAGGTAGAGAAAGATAGAGATAGATAGAGAAAGATAGAGATAGGTAGAGAAAGATAGAGATAGATAGAGAAAGATAGAGATAGATAGAGAAAGATAGAGATAGATAGAGATAGATAGAGATAGATATATAGAGATAGATAGAGATAGATAGAGATAGATATAGATAGAGATAGATAGAGATAGATAGAGATAGATAGAGATAGATAGAGACAGATAGAGAGATAGATAGAGATAGATAGGTAGATAGGTAGATAGGTAGATAGGTAGATAGATTAGATTAGATTAGATTAGATTGGATTAGATTAGATTAGATAGATAGATAGATAGATTGATAGATAGATCGTAAAAGATCTGGATAGATAATTGTAGTAGATAATGATTGATACTGATAGACAGATAATGATGAATGGATGGAGAACTATGATGCTCTTTGGCAAACAAACTAAATCACCCCACTTGTCTGTAGATGCTACTTTTTGCTCTAGGTATCTCATACTGACATGCCCACCAAGAAGCACTTGGGCACATTGGAAATCGAACGACGGCCTATCTTAGCCTACTAGTCCTCATGCTTGTCGCACACAGCACCATGCGATACTGTCCTCTCTTCGGGCACATAGACATCAATCACAACTCGGCTGTGCCGGGTGGACCCTCTAAGTGGCTAGTTTTGCACCGACTTCATTCCAGTTCTTTCTGCTCCCATTTGTATGCATACTTGTCCTCCCTGTTCAGTTCTGAGTTATCGTACTGCATGCTGTGGGGGAGTGCGTTCAGGTTCGCGAGAAACAGCTTCCTGCGTTGACTGAGAAACTGATCATCAAGCTGCGAAAAGCAGAGCAGGACTGGTTGAAATGATTGACGGGGCAAAAGTAGGCAGCCAACAAACAAGAAGGTTGAATCCGGTTGCATCTGAGCGTTCGATTCTTTCTGCACTCGCTTTCAGATGGAGGAAAAACTTGCAGAGGCAGCTTCTGCCTTGGCAAAAGTGCCGGCGCCACCGCCGGTGTCAGAGACTCTGGGCAGCAAGGATAGCGAGACAAGGCATGTCAAAGCAAAGGCACAGCAAAGGCAAAACAAAGGCAAAACAAAGGTAGAGCTGAAGATTTGCAGATGAAGATGCTGCACAGATTCTGTACAGATCCTCCACAGATGCTCTGTGCTACAAGTGCTCCAAGGAACACCATCAAAGAGCCAGAGCAAAGCCCTGTGATGAAGGCTGCGGACAGTGTCCAATAAAGTGGCTTTGAGTGTCCTGGTTTGCGAGCTGTTGTGAGGCCATTCCACTTGTTCCTGGTGTTCTGGGACAAGGATTGGTTCCTGCGAAAGCAACTTGTTCGCACTGGCATTGCCTCGGGATTCGGTCCCTGCGCACTAGTGGCCACAACCAGGCTCCGGCAATGGCACCCCTTTTCAACGAGTAGGGCGGATTGTTGAATTGCAATCTTGGTTTTTGTGTTCCCCAGTTTAAACCATAGTCCTTGTTCGAGGACGCTGACTTTTGTTGGGCTCATTTTTTGGATCAAAGTTTTTCATAAGTTGGAAAATTGTGCTGTACTGACCTGACTTTGCAGTTTTTGGGGGTTGTTCTGCCCAATCCCTGACCAAAGGCGACAATGGCCGCCCTTCTTGTTTTGCCAGATTTGAAACGCTGCAGTATGCTGAGTCACTTGGGCAAACGTTCAGAAAAATCGGGCAAACGTTGCCAGGTCACGAAAGCGATTGAGTCGCTGCAGACTAATGCAGCCACTTGGCACCATTGGACCAGGGTGAGTATCGGTGAGTATAGTGAATTTGAATATACTGTAAGTTCTTATAGTGAGAAAGTCTGGTGTTCCAACGTTCCCATGCCCTTACATGGCGCAGTCCTTACTGCGTCATTGCTACGCAGGCAGTGCCTGGAGCTGGGACTTCGCATTTGGCAGAAGAAAAGGCCCAACGAACTCTGCACGTCTCTGCTGACAGCTGCTTGAATCCCGCTGTAGTCGCTGCAGTAGTCTCAGTCCTTTCATTCCAGTCACTTTGCCCACCTTGCAGCAAGGCTGCCAAAATGCTGGGCGGAAAGGCCAATCTCTCGCTGCGAAGCTGTGGAGCCGTTGTTGCGGTTGTTGAGCTTCTGCGGTGTTGCAGGACATTCCAGCAGGAATGCACAGCGACGAGTTGGAAATCAATGACTACCCTCAGATCGCCCGGCAGAAAATCACTCATCGGGACAGGGCCCATCTTTGTAGTGAAAACAGTCATCAAAATGTCAGCAAGCCGCTTGATCCTGCTTTCTGCAAATGCCCAGAGATGATTTCTACCTCTTCTCGTTGGACCCCTACTTGGATTTAACACTTGGGTTTTTGGTCAATCCCGCCGATGCATGTTGCAGTGAGTTCTGTGACAGGAGCCATTGGTGGCAATCGAAGAAATGACGGGTGCCAAAGTGCAGGCCAAAACTCATTGGCCTCGTCGCGCCTACAAGAGTTTGAACATGTTTGAACATTCCGTGAAATGCTGCACATCCTTCAGGTCAAGGGCCAGCACTTTGCTTCTGGAGCTCGCATGCCAGAAGGCAGGGCAAACTTTGTTTGAACTCGACCTTGCGGCCTACGGGATCTCTGGACGCATTGGCGGCTTGGAGAGACCTCTCTTCCCACTCCAAATCAATAGAACTTGATGAACCTTTTGCCAAGTATCTGGGCCCCGCTGGACGGCGCAGGAGGGAAGAAGCTCTATGTCGAGATTATTGGTGTGCCGGCTTATTTTGCATTCAGTGGCATTTGCAGAGACGTGCACCTTTTATACATAACACATCATAACACATAAGAGCGCAGTCTGCGTAGTGTTGCGGCGCTTCGACTCATTCCATTGGTCTCCTGATATTCCCTGGCACAGGTCCAACTCAGGTTTCTGTCTTGAAAGCCAAGCACGAGGTCTACAAAATGATGGAGGCGCAGAGCAAATGCCAGTGCGGTCTGTCACCTGTGAATCAAACCTTGTCCACTTTGCTCCCACGATACAAGCGTCCTCAGCCCATTTGCTTCAATTTTCAACATCAGCATCATCTTAAGGCATACGACTTGAGGCATCTTTTGCATGGTTGTGGTCTTTGTTTTTCATAGAGGTTGATTGCCGCTCACAATCAGTCACTCCCTCTGTTCGGTAATCTTCATCACCCGTCCAATCTGCATTATTTCCTTGTCATCATCAATCATAAAGGTAACAAGAGTGACAATCAACATCAGCAGCATGATCTGGATTGTCTTCTAAATCGCCAAGCGAGATTTGCCATTGTCTTCGTCATACTCATGCCATCTTTCTTCGCCATTCTTGTTTTGATCCCTACAGCATCAGGAGACATCAGGAGACATCACCGTCATCATCAATGCTTATCATGGTTGTCCTTGTCATTGTAGTGACTGATTTTTGATGACCAATGTCCCGCGCCTCACTGTTGCCGCATGTTTTTCTTGCTTGAAAGCTGTCTTGTCAGCGTCAGCATCATGGTCATCTCCACCATCATTTTTTAGCTATTTATATACCGATGAACATCATTTTATTGAATATGACATATGAATATGATTTCTGTTGCCGTTCATCCGAAGGAAAGTGATTTGTCGTCATCCTGATCCGTTCTAGGACCCAACTTTTCTCAGTAAGTATGAATAGCATGGTGATTATTTATACGATGTAAACCAATCGAAACGCCAGCCAACATGAACACTAACATCAGTGTAAGAGTTGTTGCCGCTATCGTCCTATCACCGTCATCATCAGCATCGTCGTCGTCGTCATCATCATCATCATCATCATCGACGTCTTCGTCATTTTCCTCCTGCTCCTCCTGCTCCTTCTCCTCATCACAGCTTCATCCAATGTCGGTGTTGGTGGATGAAACTTCTCAAGTCTGTTGGACTGTGACTCTTACTGCGGGACAAGAAGCAGTGACAGTTGGGTTTCGATCTCTGGGTCTGGGAGTGGTGCATTGTTTTTTTGCTAAGCCCAAAAACCGGAACGGACCCACAATGCTGGAACCCTGGGACCTTGGAACCTGATGTTGGGGAGCAAAGCCGGGTTAGTCTGTGGGTCTCGAATTCCTGTGCTCAACTGGGAATGGTAAGTTTCAACTTTGATGGTCACTTTTGAATTCTTTTGATTGAATATCTAATCATGTTGTGAGGCTCTGGCGATCAGAACTCTGAACATTCCTGGTCTCACTCGGGCTGTCACTGGAACTCCTGGAAGGCGAGGGCTGGAAATGCCTGGGAAGGTGAAATCTCGTTATTCAGTCGATTCAGTTGCCGGCAAAGGATGCGTGAGTTGGGACAACTGCTCCATCCGATCCTTTCGGTTGAATCAGATACTTCTCCATATTTAACATATAATTTATATTAATTTATGTAGACATGCAAATTAGAATTATATAATGTCTCCTTTGGATTTCTTTGTTTAGTTTGAGTATAAGAGGGAGACCAGGGAATCAGTTTAGGAGGGTGACTGTCAAAGTCAATATGGGAGGGTGACATTCAAGTCAAGATGTAAAAGAATGGCAAGATTGATTCTGTCTGCAAGTCTTCTATGTAGCTTCCCTCACTGGTACTCTAATGTTGATCAAAAGATCTCGGTCTCGATGCAGATACACGGATTATGGGTCAAGGGATCAACAATCCATGTTTTGTAAGTGATTGTCGCAGTGATATGCAACTGTTGGAATCCGCGTCGTCAGACTGGAACTGTTGCCCTGCATACACAATTTAGATACTGCAATACGTATGTGACTGCGTGTATGTGCATACATATACATATATGATTCAGATACATATACGGTGCGTATATCATATGCATATATATATATAATGTAGGTACATCATATATGTATTTATATATACATAAATACATATTGTGTGTTGATCATACCCAATTGCACTTGGCAAAGGCCCTCATTACGCTCGTAAACGAATTCACATGGTTCCTCATGTACATTCGATATTTGAATGTTTGAGCCGTTGCCCTTTTTCTGCAGAGCAGCTTGTTTCTCCCAGAAACCATGAATGAATTTCTGCTTTCAAGGTACGACCCAGCCGTTGGCAAGTGAGATGGGCTCGCTTTGCTTGCACGACAGGTTGCATAGATCAATAGATCAAAATTGCGACCAAGCAACCGCAAGCAAATCAACAACGACTGTCGGGCCGGGTGGCGGTTTTCTAAACTGCATCTGTCACAGTTTGTCAATGTGCGGGGTGCTCCTCGCAGTGTCACCTGGACAGAGGCACTAGGCCAAACTTCAGCATAGAGAGCAGAGAAGAGCAAAAGTTCACTCAGACCCATGCTGGCCATGCTGCAAAAGTTCACTTGTTTCTGTGTTCTTCTGTGTTCCTTGTGTAAAAAGATGCTCCAACAAGTTTTGTCTACCGTGTGGAATTGACTTTGGAAAGTTCCTCACGTGGAACATGTTGGATCAAAGCGCAGCTCAGCTCCAAGAGATCATAGCTGTGACACCGCCCCCATTTCGTACTGGCCTCGGCTGATTTGTACAGCCTTTGATGCAGTTTATCCCATGTGTGGCTGAAACCTTTTCCACGTACTCTACTCTCAGCTCTCATTTGGGCACGGCACGTTTGAGTCTCCACAGCATTTGATCATTTCCTTTGTTTTCGCCTGGAAGAACGGGGTCTAGCCAGCCACTGGTACACACATGACAAAAGCTAGAGAAGGATATATATATATATACGGTATATGCTACCACCCCCCCAAAACCCACTGCGCAGAAGATTCAGATGCTTATTGATGTGTCAAGGAACCTTTGTTTGGAAAAAATGATTCTTTTCGGAATGATATTAAGCCTTCCTTCAATCATACACCAGATTCCTACACAATATTCAGTGTGTGATCAACATTCAGTATTGCTGTCGAAAAGTGCAATAGTCGATGCAAATTGCTACATTCCTGGAAAAAAAATATTGTTGTTAAAGGAACATGGTGCTTACAGGTTACAATCTGCTTTGATGATATTTCCTCAAGTAAGAAGCAGTATTTCTGCAGAACCATACAATATGTGGAAAAATGCAATATATATATATATATACAACCTTTAATGAAGCTCAGCCTTCCTATTATGTTTCTTGTATGAGAACTTTTTCAGGAAAGACTTTACTTCTTCAAAACAAGTGCCCTGAAGACAAGGTCTTCCCTTAAGTAAGAAAGCAGTATTCTTGCAGAAACATACAATATGTGGTAAGATGAAATACGCCTTTTAACAAAGTTCAGACTCCCTCTCAATTCTTTGCATGACATTTGCTTTGAAAGGAAAGACGTCACGTCTTCAAAATAATGATGTCTGTTTTGTTCAGATGTTTTATTCATATGGAAGGGTATATTGCACACATACAACCATGACCTGTTTCTTTCAAAGAGTACTACATACACCCAAAGGTTCTACTTCATAGTAATGCTTTTCTTTGTATTACTGCATGAATTTCAATCAAATGGAGGCTTTTCACATACTTGCACCAACATTTTCTTTGAGGAATACCATGATCATTGTCTAAAATGAGTACTCAAAGGATTCCTTTCTCAAGGAATACTACACCCTCTATTTTCCAGAAATGTGTTACTCTACTGAATGAAATTTTGCAAAAAGTGATGCTACACTTCTACACTTCTTTCAGAATACAGAGAACTGCATCCATTTAAGTACTGCTGCATCTAATGTTGCATTTTCTTGAAGGAATGCTCCACCATTTTTAAGGGATGATTCGCTCTTTACAATGGAACATTGCAAACAAGTAATGCTACACTACAACTCTTTTCTAAATATATTATATACTGTTATCAAGGAATACTGCATAGACTAAGTCACTTTTCTTCAGAAGGGGCAATGTCAATTTCACAGATGTAGCATTTGTGAGGTTTTTTGTTTAAACAAAATGACGGCTCACATTTTTTATATGCCAAGCAAAATGATTGCATACTGACTCTAGAAAGCACAATGTAGCAGTACTTGTGCCACATGTGCAGCAGTTTCTTCAAAAATCCATCTAATTTCCCAATAAATACAGTGTTGCTTGGAGAAAAACATGCATGTTCTTCAAAGTAATGGCTACATTTTTGAAGATAGTATTTTTGTTTGAAGAGATACTGCATTTGATTAAAAGATGCCTGTTGCAGGGACTTTTTGTGCAACGTTTTCTTCCTTCCAGAAGTATTGTACCAAGTACGTTATGAAATGGGTCTATGCTAATCACGAAAGGTAGCTCCAGAGGGGCTACCTTGAGTTTTACTTTACGAAGTAAAGGGGAGGGCGGCCAGCCCCGTTACCTGATTATTCAGGAGATTGCTAGTCATTTTAGGAACATCGTAAATACCGTGGTTTTGGGCTTCCGATCCACAACACGACAACACGACAACACGACAACACGACAACACGACAACACGACAACACGACAACACGACAACACGACAACACGACAACACGACAACACGACAACACACAACACAACACGACAACACGACAACACGACAACACGACAACACGACAACACGACAACACGACAACACGAAACACACAACACACCACACACGACAACAGGACAACAGGACAACAGGACAACAGGACAACAGGACAACAGGACAACAGGACAACAGGACAACAGGACAACAGGACAACAGGACAACAGGACAACAGGACAACAGGACAACAGGACAACAGGACAACACAACAACACGACAACACGACAACACACAACACACAACAACACAACAACACAGCAACACACAACACACACAACAACACAACAACAACAACACACAACAACACAACAACACAACAACACAACAACACAACAACACAACAACACAACAACACAACAACACAACGACAACAACAACACACAACGAAAACAACAACACAACAACAACAACAGCAACAACAACAACAACAACAACAACACAACAACACAACAACACTCAACAACACAACAACACTCAACAACACAACAACACAACAACACACAACACAACAACAACAACAACAACACAACGACGACAACAACACACAACGACAACAACAACACACAACGAAAACAACAACACAACAACAACAAGAACAACAACAACAGCAACAGCAACAACAACAACAACAACAACGACAACACACAACACACAACACACAACAACACAACAACACAACAACACAACAACACAACAACACAACAACACAACAACACAACAACACAACAACACAACAACAACACAACAACAACAACACACAACACCACACAACACCACACAACAACACACCACAACACACCACAACACACCACAACACACCACAACACACCACAACACACCACAACACACCACAACACACCACAACACACCACAACACACCACAACACACCACAACACACCACAACACACCACAACACACCACAACACACCACAAACACCACAACACAC